AACGAGTTTTATAAACAAAAAACGAATAGTATACGGAAACCTTAGTTTAATTTAAATGAGTACTCACGAAAATCTTAAATATTATTAAATAGTAGCTATTATTTTTGTTATTTACTGTGGAAATGCTGTAAGCATACTCTCTTGTTTAGGCTGGAAGAAAATAAGGAGAATTATACTGGACTCTAGCTCTGAAAAAGACACACTGAAGGCTTAAATCCCCACGGCTGACCTATTTTTCTCATACTGCCTTCTACTTCTGCTCTTATGCTAGAACATAAGGCTGCCAGAAAATTCTCGAGATTCTTCTGCGGTAAATAAAGCATAAGTAAAAATTAAATTCAAGTCTACTTACAAACCGTATTCTATTAGAACACAAATATTTATATTTTCATGAAAAGAATCTTGTTACCAGAAACAGCTGAATTATCTATTTATATAAACTTACTGATTGGTATTTTAAAAATAAAAATAAATAAATATAATAAATTTAAGACGTTTTACTACTCTTAATAGTATGTAACCACTATTGTACTAAATATATTATTCAACTATATTACTATAGTATTATTAGAATAAGTAAATATATTGTCTTTTAATTAAGAGACGATTGTGATAACAATTATCGAATTAATAGCATATTAACTACACCCAAAATGTTATACAAAAAGCTGTAATCAAATCTTCAAAGATACAAGTCCAAATATTTCAATTTCGATATAAAATACTGCTACATATTAATTTGTCATTGACGTCATAATAAAATAACCTTCAAAAACAACCGTGACTAAAGAAAATAATATTGTATTAACTCAGTTCATCCCTACTAATATTATAAATGCGAAAGTAACTCTGTCTGTCTGTCTGTTACGCTTTCACGCCTTAACCACTGAACTGATTTTAATGAAATTTGGTACAGAGATAGAGTTGATTTTGAGAAAGAACATAGGATAGTTTTTATCCCAGACTTTTGAAAGGTTCTCTTGGAAACGCGATGTAACCGAACTCCACGCTGGCGAAGCTGAGCGGAAAGCTAGTATATATAAACAAAGAATTAAAACTCCATAGTCTATTCCCCTGGCGTTCCTCGGCCGGGCGTCTCTCCCCCTGGCGTCATCAAATCTCCCTTATCAAGATATAATATATTACTTGTATTGTGAACTGAGTTATTCATGACTTACATATTTATTACCATATTTTTATGATAATAATTTTGATTGTTTGTCTCGGTGTTTATACTATTAAAAAGGAGGTACACAATCATGTTATGTATTTGTGTTATATTAATCCAATGATAATGACTTTAATTTGACGAATTTTATTAGGTATATAGGTATATGGTAGAATTAGGGTATGAGAAACAATTTTTAAACTAATTTGTATTTTCCTAAAATGATGGTACGGAGAAATTCCAGTAAATATTCGTTTTCATTTATCATATAAGCAAAATATATTGTAGCAATTAAATGAAGCTAAGCAGAGTTTACAAACGTCTCTACCAATTTTTTACAGTCATTAGCCTATCAGAGCCCACTGCTGAGCCTCTTCTCACAAGGAGAAGGTTTGAGCATTAATCACCACGCTTGCTCAAGACGGGTTGGTGATTACAAACTTATAATTGTGGATTTTTATGCACTAATACCTATATTCAAAATTCACGAAAAATTCATAACACTCACATATTTCCATAATAAAATGAATATAAATACATTTTTATATATTCTTCCATAATAAAAGCTAAGTGAACTAATCTTATGTCCAAATATAACACTAGCCAAGCAATAGCTTCCCTTATCATTAATTCTGTTATCTGCAATATCATCATATTCATGGCGGCGAAAAATCGACGACATTCATCAAAATGTACTCCTTATATATTATTCACTAGTTTCATAACTCGGATATGCTTCTATATAGACACTAGCTTTCCGCTCAGCTTCGTCCGCGTGGAGTTCGGTTATATCGCGTTTCCAAGAGAACCTTTCAAAAGTCTGGGATAAAAACTATCCTATGTTCTTTCTCAAGGTCAACTTTATGTCTGTATCAAATTTCATTAAAATCAGTTCAGTGGTTTAGGCGTGAAAGCGTAACAGACAGACAGAGTTATTTTCGCATTTATGATATTAGTAGGGATTATAACTGGTAAATTGATGGGACTATCATAGGACATCGGTGCAATAAAAAATAGTATTATATTATGTTGAAAATTCTGAAGCTGTTTCTATATAGAAAACTCAATCAAGTATTGTAGAAGTAATTTTATACCATCACTATACCTACTCTATAAATTTCTTTAAAATAATTATTTTTATCAACCTTAATCTGAATTCTCAAACAACATGTTTGTTTCTACATTTTATTTATTACTAGTTTTTGCCCGCGACTTCGTCCGCGTTAGTTTGGTCAAGAGTAATATATGTAGGTATAGCTGACCAGGCGAACTCTATTCCGTCTTAGAGGACATAAATAATCAGGTTTTTCCTGTTTCAATCAAACAGAATGATAGATATATTAGTTAGTTGTCAAATCTAATGTCAAGAAAAACGTTTGTATGGGAAATAGAAAAGGGCTGTTTTTAGGGTTTTCCCGGCAATTATTCCAATTTTTCTCACCTTTTAAACCTTCCCTGGACTTCCAGGAATATTTCAAGACTAAAATTAGCCCAATCCGTTCAGCCGTTCTCGAGTTTTAGCGAGACTAAGGAACAGCAATCCATTTTTATATATATATAGAAGATAAAAAGACCATCATATTACATTTAACTGAATATGTAAAATATCCTTATACTTAATTACGTATTTAAAATTAAATTGATTTTGACTTTAATTTATAATTAAATCCATATGATTAATATAGTTGAAAATTTATGTACACGAATTCTGCTTACCACAAGTCTCTTTGGTGGACTACCTACATTACATTTTTTTATCTCATTAAAGTTTTTTACGTATCAGATACTGTTAACGCTACGTATGTAGTATGCAAACTTGGGTTAAACATACTGGAATTACGTTCCATTAAAGAAATAAAGTAATTAATTATTAAAAGCAAGCTCAGTCCCAAATCTATCACGCGTTACAGTAATGTAAAGTATCTTAGAACGAGGTACTTATAACGAAATTATAATTTCCTAGCTTTAGCCAGGGTCTGCCTTACATGTTGTGAATAGTTTTGTCTAATTGTTTTTATGACCGGCCGCCTGCCTGACATCAACCCTCTTTGGGAATGCATTAATCAGTGATGTCTAAATACTCTTAGAAAGTACATATGACTCGGAAAAATCACATTGATACTTGCCAGGATCGAACCCGCGGCCTCATGCATGAGAGGCGGACCTTTTAACCACTAAGCCACCACTGATCATAATTATTATCATACATATTTATTTATTAATTTTAATATTATACCAACGTTGTATTTACCAATTTTAAATCTCAGTCGTAAGTAAAACTTAATAATCATTTTATGTGGTGCTTACAGAACCAATAATTCAGTGCTTACTTAAGAAAATAATTGAAAATCGATACTATTAAATAATGCCTGACTTAATTAAGTAATAAAATATATTATTTTATTAAGCAGCAATATATCTTTGTGTTAAACGTGTACACAGCGTGTTCATTATATGGTTCAAGTGATGTATATATATATGCATCATTAAGCAAGGCTTACATCCGACACATAATTACTTACGAAAAACTGTTTCAGTGTAACCAGTTCGATTCCCGATCACGCATATATAATATAGAAGATATATTAATAATAATTAGACAAATATTAAGATTTTTCTCTGTATTTATGTATGTTTTAATTTAAAAAAAACTATGTAAGACTTTTTGTAGACTGTATGTAGATAATTTTAATAAATAAAGTAAATTATCTTCATTTTTCGTTTATAATTCAAATGTTTATGATAAAATACAGTAATAACGAATAATTATATTTTTAGAACCCTACTGTTTAAATTATTATGGACTGTAAGCTTGTTAATTATCTTTTAGGGATGATTTGATTGTGGTACCATCTACCTTCAATAGTTCAGGATGTGGAAGGTTCTACCAAGAATATTGGAGTCACGATTATATTGAAGGATTCAGAAAGTAGAATACTGTTCCTAAATCATTCTAATTTCTTTCTAAACTCTAAATAATGTCGTGTATATACATATAATGAGTATACAATAATACAAATACATATGTATATCAAAATATCGATATAATATTAATTTTTAATTTCAATAACGATTTTGCAAAATCATTAGGTACATTAACATAGGGTATGTGGGTTGAGTTAATAAAAAAATGAATTAAATTAATAAATGTTGTATCAAAAAATACAGTTTAATTGAGTATATAAGTAAATGAGGATAATGGTTTTATATACAAAATATTTATAATCTACTTTATTTACCATACATGCCTTACCATATAAACTATCTTAAAAGTTCTATCACTATCAATCCAGCCATTAGAAAATCAGACAAGACCTACACACAAAATAGACAAATACCATTAAAACACCACAACATAATATTTATACCACAGAAAGAAAAAAAACCACCTCAATAAACGACCATTTTAAAACATTCCGACTAAAAAAGACCAAAAAAAAATTTAAAACCAAATAAAGTCCTTAATTTTTTCTTAACAACCGCAACCGATTACGTGCGATAATACCGATATTAATCACACAAAAATCGGCTTTATATCAATGGAATAAAGACTGAATCTTGACGAAAATGTTTCATAATGTTAAAATTAGTATATGAAGAATGATTTTAGCAAAAAGTTACCTTAATATCATGTAATAGAGTACATATTAAATAGTACTATAATATGTTTGATGTAAAATAAACCTTATGTTTTATAAATAAGGTTGAAATTTAAGTGTTCATATATTCTCAACCCCACCAGAAGGCGTGGTAGCTATTTTACAGACTCCACAACGTACCAAATCGTCCTAGGACTCAGACGTGTGTGTGCTGTGAGTGATAATCGATTACCATGGAGTCAGAAATCAACAAAATCACAAAAATACCACCAAAAAACTTCTCCATAGAATCCATTGTGGGGATAAACAACCGAAGATCACCAGATATAGACATTGAAAATAATATAACTGACTTCAATTCTGAGGACGAGGATATGAAAAGTCGGGAATCGAAAATGTATTATTTCCAACAGAATCGTATGAATAATTTCCCGTTTTTCATGTCGTATGATAAAAGAATTAATGCCGGCTATACCGAAAGCCATGAAAATGATTTGAAGAGATCAAGCCCGGGCAGCGTGAGAAGCGAAGTTGATAGTGACGGGGCTGACGATAGACAGCATGGTGAGTTAATTTATATTGGCTGTATAATTTGGATCATTGTCTTTATATTAATATCGGCTGTATAATTTTGGATCGTTGTCTTTATATTAATATCGGCTGTATAATTCGGATCGTTGCCTTTATATTAATATTGGCTGTATAATTTGGATTATGTCTTTATATTAATATCGGCTGTATAATTTGAATCGTTGTCTTTATAAAGATATCGGCTGTATAGTTTGGATTGTTGCCTTTATATTAATATCGGCTGTATAATTCGGATCTTTGTCTTTATATTAATATCGGCTGTATACTTACGATCATAGCTCATGTCAATTTTAATATTAACTAGTTTTAACCCGTGACTTTGTCTGCGTTACTCTCAAAATTAAAATGTATAGCTAATCGGGAAAACTCTGCCTCCTCAAAGGCAATAAATAAGATTTTGGATTTTATCAAACTTTTTCGATCGCATGAAAAGTATTCTGTCCTTTACCTTGTTCTAAGCTAGCTCTCCGCTAATTTTTAGCATAACGCGTAAAATCGATCTTGAGTTATAAATAGTGTAACTAACACGACTTTCTTTTATCTATGAAGATGTGGTCCAAAACTTTAATTAAGACGAAGTTAGGTCAATGACCTTACCTATCCGTTACTATGGAAAAAATTATTAAAACACATATTTGTTATATATTCTATTTATTTTATAATTATATAACACATAATGTTTACTATTTAAATAAAATTATCTATAATTACAACGATAATATTAATAGTAATTGATAATCTATTGTATTCTATGTACATATATTTTCTTAAATATAGAAATAGCCGTCGGAATAATTCATGTTTATGTAATTATTAACCCAAAAAGGTCATATTAAAATTGTACTATTTCCGTACTCCAAATAGCTAATTATTATGTATTATTTACACTGAAGTTAACACAATAAAATAATACTAATAAAAAGTAATAATATATATTTATAACACCAAGAATCGTAAAATTATTTTGACGTCTAACTTAAGAGAAAACTCGCCATATAACACTGAAGAAGTCCTTTAATACACCGATTTGTATTCAAATTATTTTAAATGTTCATAGAATTCTCGGTAGACACTAAAACTGCACGGTTTAATCACAAAAACATAATATTTGGTCGTCCGGTAGCGGCTTCGACATTTTATTATTCACAGCATGACATCTGTCAAATTGCCGCCAAAACAAACGGGCATAGACAATAGATTGTAGTCATTTAGAAAAGTTTTGCTCAATTACAGATCTTTGTGGTGGATGGTTTACAAAAATTTCTCTTTTATTGCGGTTTGTTATTGCTGTTATTGTACTTGGAAATTTACTATTAAATAAACCCAAGCCGCCGCATATATAATGACATCTCATATTTTCGTTTTCAAAGACACCTATAAAGTATTAATCTTTATATTTCAACAAAGGATAATGAGATATTAGTATATTAAAATATTTAGTGTCAATTTAATTTATTAATGTAGTAAATGAAGGTTTTATATAGACTTTTCTTAAGACAAAATCTTTTTTAAAATAAGAGTTTTTAAAAACATTTTTATAAGGACGAATATTTTTGACATTAATTATTTTCAAGTTATAATAAATATAAACATATTTATAAAATGGACAACATCATAAGTATCCCTATATTTGAAAGAGTAAATAAGATATATCTGCTTTATTTAATTCAACATTTTATTTTGTAATTAATGACTGTGATTTCTTGTGAATAGATTATTCCTATGTATATAAAAATAAAACAATTATTTAAAGACGTTCATCTCGTCTGTCCGTGATCACGGTTGCTGCAAAGTAACCGATACGTCGGGAGTATGTAACATAATAATAAAAACCCAAAAATATTATTTTCATTTATATAAATACTCGCGAAAGTCCTAGATTTCATTATTCGTGTATATTTTTTCAATCAATTTTCGCCTTATATTTAAATCATCCACTTTTTAGCACCTATAAACTTTTTTTTGAGGTCCAAAACGACTCTTCAAGTATATGAGTATCTATTAAATATGTTATGAAGTGACGGCGACGTGTCATATTAATAACTGGAATAATAACGGTCCATGAGGCTGTGATATTAAGAACATGAGCGATATTAGGGCTTCGGCATTAGATCTTTTGTCTTGTAAATTGAGTAGAGTATATAATTTTCTTTATATAAAACCTTTTTTATATAACATACATTATTAAATAAATATATAATCATCTATTTTTATTAATCTAGCTAAATGATATATAAAATAAGAAAAAACCTAAAATTTTTGTTGAAATTTGACGTACAATCAATTGTTTTGCGAAAAATATATCTTGTATAAGACATGGGATCCCAATACCATAGTATTAAACCTATAAAACCGTGAATCCTTACTAACACGTCGAACATACGTTTACGTGGGACCTATTACGTGAGAGAGAGATAGTTGCACGCTCCGCCCTGACTGGTGGGGTGAATAGGGACCAGCGATTGGCCGGAGCTGTATGGATTTTTAGCAGACCACCGTAATACAAGACCCCTTATCCTGTTTCAAATAAGGATCAACACACGCTTTAATACTTGCTCCATAATGTTAGCTTTTAACATCGCTTTATTATCAAAGCAACTGACTTTTTTTTGTTGTGATTAAGATCGTATTAAATATATTAACTGTAAAGTTAATATAACGTAGGTTCATATATATTATTTATGATAAACATAAAATATAACTCTTTGCCTCTAAGTGTTGTCAATTCAAAATCTCTAAATATATTTAAAAAACGATTAAGAACCCATATATTAGAAGATTTCACTGATCTCGCTTAATATCACTAGGTACTGTTTATTATTTGTAATTTTAATTGTAGTTATAGTTTTTAAAATTTCCTTTGTAAGCGAACTCTGTTCTTTTTGGAAATAAACCTAAATAAATGTATTTATTAGGTTCATATAATATATCAATAAAAATTTAGAAAAACCACATCTTTGCTACATTCATAACAGTATTAACAGCTTAACTGTAAACATTAAACAACAAAACATCTAAATAACCATCATAACACCATTAAGACGAGTCTCAAAAGGACCGATAAGCCAGGTAACCTAACACCAGCACTGAAAAAAATGTATTGTAAAATAATTAACGATATTTTAGGGTCTTTGAGAATACCGCCATTATTAGAGACCGTTACAATTCAACGTATCTCAATAAACAATTTCTATAACTAATATTTCATTGTATTCCTTTATATACTTTTTGTTTTTGAACTAAACTTACATACAGTTATATTGTTTAATTATTTCTTAGTATATAATTAAAGTTTTATATATAATGTTGTATATAAATCGTTTAAACAGATTAATTTATTGTCAAAGTAATAGCATTAGTTGATACGTGTTAATTATCAGCAAAATGCATTCACCGCGGACCGCAGCTGTTGCAAATAAGGTCAATTGTCCGTAAATTGTCTATGTTATGAAAGTCACGTGTAACAATACGATTGTCTATGCCCTAATTGTCTATGGTTAAATGCGTGGGTGTCATTTTGACGTATAATTAGCTGTGCGCCTTGTCAATTGGGCTTAAACTGATTTCGTTTTTATTGCGTTTACTCCCCAAAGAGATATTTATCTTCATTACGCTCTGCCGGCTAGTAGATACGGATTTTATTATGAAAATTGCTTTAGGGAGAACGCGGAGGGATGACACCGTGTAATTGGATAATTGTCGGCAAATGTTTTGCTTGAATTATAAATCGCTTTTGTTTGGGGTGACTTATTGTTTAAGTGTAGTGTTGATTTAAATAAATCCAGTGTTATAATTTAAGAGAGATCATTATTTTATTTAATGCGATAAAAATTATTACCTTCGTCGTCGGAAAATCTATATTTTTGTTAATAAAATGAAATATATGTAGTGTTTGATAATTTTTTGTTTTGACACAATTAAACTCGAAAATATGAAAGTAAAGTAAATAACCAAGTATCTGGAACCGATAGCAATTTTAACATTTCAAATCTCTCACAAACTAAGGTCATGGAGCGTTCAAAATCAAATCACACCGAATCGGTATATCAATGATAAGTATCTAATATTATTACGATAACAATAAATACTATTTGGATACAACAGGCGCGCGTGCCGTAACCAATAACCGGACAATTATGGAACTGGTACAACACTACCCTCGTCGATACATCACGAGGGTTGTATTGGATGCACTATTAATTAATGTGAGGTATCGGTTTGGGGACATCACTGTTTACGATAAATTGATTGCGATACGAGTTAATGTTTACACAATTTGAATGATAATTGGACGGTTGAGAAGTTTTGGTAGGGAGAGTTGAGAAAGAAGCAATGAGAACTAGTCTTATAATGGTCCTATGTTAAGAAAAGCATGTCCTGTATTCAGTAATGCTCTATATAGTATATTCCCAAAGAGGGTTGATGTCAGGCAGACGGCCGCGAAAACAATTAACCAAAACTATTCACAACATCTAGCAAAACCCTGGCTAAAGCTGGGAAATTGTCAGGTAGAGACAGTATGAAAACTATGATTATTTTCCAAAAATAACATAAAGACATCAATATAATTTAGAAACGAGATTTGTTAGCGAAGTTTTCATTGTCTAACTCATTAGTTAAATCACTAGACGCTACTCGCTAATAGATGTGTTGTAACTTAATAATGTATTTACAGGAATATTGGCTGTATTGCGTTATAATAAAGGCTTTATTGATGTGCACTAATATGACATTGTTTGATAGGTCAGGGGTGTATATAATTTTATAAGGTTTAAAATAATAATATATATCTGTCCTTAGTATTAAACAGAAAGTAATATCCTTAAATGATTGTCACCAAACGGAAACTAATTCAGGAAGCTGTCAGATGCTTTTGACATTTCTTTTTTTTTTTCTAACGGACACACGCCAAGCACAGCTGGGGGCTGTTCAGCGGTCCACCAAAGAGGTTGCACGTCGTGTACAACAAACTACTTACTCAATGGAAGGAAGCTACCGGCTAGACTATTGCAAATTGATTTTTAAGTGTTCCGTCGCCACCCAGCATGGGAACGAGTCAAGTGGTATGGACGCCGTCACTTACAAAAAAAACAACCACTCACATACGCAATAAATATTCTATAATGATTGTCATTTATATCTGCGAAGCTTATTTACATCGTGTTTTTACGTTAAACAAGTTTCGTCAAAGCGACGCCATATTGCGTTATTAGAATTTAAATACACCGGAAATCAGTTGAGCGTCCCAGTGATCAGCCATTACGGGCATAGACAATAAACGTGACTCGAAAGCTATACTTTCGTCCAGTGTCAATAAGTTGCCGCGTCTTAAATATAGAACCACTTCAACGACTAATCAGTTCTGTAAAGACGGTTGTATATATATTTTTTGTCTAAATTAAGTCGGCAGCCGTCTGAGCTTTTCGGTTTCTTTTATAGAACGAACTTATAAACTCATGAACACACAGGTATGGGAAAATATTTAATTAGACAATAGCTTATTTGTGTTTGTTTTGTGTTAATGTACTCCTTTTGAAACTCTGGGCGCGTACAATTAGCACCTACCGCTACTGGTTCCCGTTTGAGAGCGGACTTTTGATTTTTATGATAAGTCAATCTCGATTTTACTCCGTAATTAGTTTCTGTAAGTAGCTATGTGATGTCTATACAAGCGGTGTGATAACATTTGTTTGAGAGCACCGACTGACTACTTATAACCCTTTAGAGTTGTTCCTAAGAAGATAACTAATGATTGGTCCAGGCCTCTTGACGTTCAGAACCATTGAGTGTTTTGTTATATAACTATTAATAGAAATACGGCTAAAATAAGAACTTAACTTAGATAATATATAATAAAAACGTTTTTTTGTCCACAGAATCTCTAAGTCCACAATCTGAACCCATTAATACGTCGAGCTCGGCGCCCGATCCGAATATAAGGTGAGAATTGCTATTATAATCTATTGATGTACTAATAAAACATTATAACTAATAAAAAAACTTATTTATATTTATGACAACATTGATTAAACACATATATTGAAGTTTATTTTAAATCGTTTTTCTATATTAATAATTAATTAATTTCCAGGCGATACAGAACAGCTTTCACGCGGGAACAACTTGCTAGACTTGAAAAGGAATTCATGAAAGAGAACTACGTGTCGAGGCCGAGACGATGCGAGCTAGCAGCACAGTTACAGCTACCTGAATCAACTATTAAGGTTAGTTTAAATAACATATTTAATAATTAATTATTTATATGTACGTAAAACAATTTAAATCTGCGTGTAAAGGAATATTTGTCTTCTTTCTATTATTGTCTATGGTATTCTGAATTTGAATTATGTATATGACGTATGTAAAAATAATTAAGTATAGATTTTTAATAATATTAAATGATAAAATCGTATTTATTAATAAACATAATTATAATTTAAATGACAAATAATTGACAACTATTATTTTGTCTGCTGAATTTTTTTTCTCTATATCGAATCTATGGTTATACATTCTGCCGATGTCAAAACTATTTCATTGCATATATAATTATTGTGGGCGTTAAAATATTTAACATACCTAGATACATTTCACAAAAAAACCCACATCGTTTTCTGAATAACCTCACTTTAATTATGACAAGTTTGACAACTGTAACTCGCTTTTTGTTTTACGTCTCGCCCACTTTATGTATTTCAAAATTCTATGGTAATTGTGTTAACAGGACAGGTTGTGTGGTTGCGTGTGTAAAATATTGCTTGTTATATAGTATTTAATAATTTTAAATAGTCAATACATGATTAAAACGATAAGAGAAAGTATAGTTTCACGTCTAAATGTATGTACTACTTGCTTATGACTAGGTATTGTAGTTTAAACAGAATTATAAGTCAATATTTCTATTATATTTGACATGATAATAACAAAAAATCCCTAAAAGCATTAATGTCCGTTTTATTTGTACAAACCATGAAGGCTTTATTGTGTTTGTGGTATGATGCTTCAATTAGATACACAATAATTTCCATAACAGCCGCTTTATGGCGGGACGCTAATTCGCGGAATCATGTACAAATGTGTGAAAAAATTGAGCAATACCAGTTTCGTTACAGAATACTATATTTTTTTATAAACTACTCATTGTAGATTGTAAATATCGATCCGTCAAATGAGTTTCTATATATTTTTTAATACGTAAATTCCACATTAAAACACCGTATGCCAATTTAAATATAAAACCGTAAAGCCGGTCATAATGTCAATTATCACTTCCACTAAAAAAGAAAAGCCGACGATAAAAAACGTGTTTATTGCTCATTCGAATTTTACATTGACGCTAATTTGTCGATGTTTAATAAAAACGAATTATTCAGTAGCCGCCCGCTAATGAATATTATGCCGCGTTCACATTTATTAGTCTATGGATTCCTTGTCTATGCATCTGTTTTATTGCTTCACCAATTAAAAACTATTAAATTAAGCCGCTACCATTTGATGATTGTAAAATATGTTTCTGCTGTGTTTGTTTATTGTGATGGGATTTTATTGGACTGTATAACGTAAATTATAAAAAAGAATTTTATTTTTCGATCATTGTAATTTAATGAACTTTTAATAACTTCAATATGAGATAAAAAATTAAATAATATATCTTATAACAGGATAGGATAAAATATATATTTATATCTAGCCAAGAAATCTAATATATAATCTTTTGCAACTCAACCGCCATTTTGTTTTCAAAGCGAGACTGTCAATTAGCACGTCATTCGCAGCACGAAATAAGTTGACGGTTTTAAGAAAATCCTTTGTGTTACTTTAATACTTTGTTGTCTCAAACATTACCGCTCTTTATTATTTTAGAATGGCTTTCAGTGAGTTATTTGTTCGTGTGTGCTTATTTTATTGCTTTTAGTGTTATTGCTACTGATTTAGGTTAGCTAAATACTTCAAACTTTAGGTACGTTTTGTGTATAGGTACGTAATTGAAGACGAAATATGTGTTTACCTACTTTTAGCCTTGGTACGTAATTGCTTAATCGTTTAATTAGGTTTTAGGAATACCTATAGGTATTCCTAATAGCCGATTATAAGCTAAAAACCGGCGAATACTTTCATATTAGTAATAAAATTATTATGAATATTCGGACACTTAAAAACACAAAATCATCGTAACCAAACTCGTTTCACGTGATTTCATTAAACCTGAATTCTTTACGGCTATAATAAATTAAATAACTCGATACATGTGACGCGTCAACTGTTTATTGATACTATTAATTGAATATCTTATTCTCTAATTAACGGCGGAAGATTTCATTCATGTTTATAATAATTATTATATTCTTCAACAGGTATGGTTTCAAAATAGGCGGATGAAGGATAAAAGGCAGAGAATCGCTGTAGCTTGGCCGTATGCTGCTGTGTATAGTGACCCAGCGTTCGCGGCATCAATTCTTCAGGCCGCGGCGTCATCTGTTGGTCTTCCTTATGGTTACCCTTCGCCCGGGCTCTTACCCCCATTCCATAACCCACAATTGTTACCCTCCGGCTACCCATACCCATACCCACCATATCCCAGATACCCATACATCCCACCAAATCAATCCTCCCCTGTCAACGCGGAATCCAACCTGCGACCGTCATACCAAAACTTCAACATAAACGTCGACAAATGAACTAAAATAATGTAAATAGAGATTAAATTAATTTATTTAATATAATAAATATATAAGTATCTTACTAAGTTATATGAAAAAAAAAGACAAACTGTAAATTTCATTCCATTCTGTACAAATATGTTTTTATATTAAAAATAATTATAAAATTAAATATTAGATTGTGTACATAAATAAGTGCAATACTCGTGTTTTTATTTGAGGCTTCGTGACATAGAGAGTTACATGCATGTAAATGTGTAAATAGTTTTAAGTGTTTAATAATTATAATAAATGTAATTTAGTTACGTTTAAGATATTAATAAAAGATATGAGGTTGTATGTGGAGAGTTTGTTTAACCTATACTCCTGTCAACTTGACAACTAAACAAAACCTATTTATTATCTGTGACATGAAACTTCAGATTTGTATCTTAGAAGTATATAAAATAATGAGATCAAAGATTTTCGCGAGTAGGTATTAATTAAAAAAAAAATACTATTTTTCGGATTACTACGCGATTTTTATTTTTGATTTTAAACTAGGTACCTACATACTCCCGACGTTTCAATTATTTTATAGCAAACGTAATCATGACAACTAGTAATTACTTATTATATATAAACATATATTTAGTCACGCAATAACTTGAGAACGATTTCATTCATTTTTTAAAAGTTATCTTTAATAGAAGGTTCTCACATATATATACAATTCAAGAAGAATGTTTAGAATCTTAGTTAATATCGTAATACTTATCAATTGTTCTACTACCTATATTATTTTCAATGTATTCTTTTCTAAATTCATTTGTGCTGTCAGTTGTCTGTCCGTTGTCATATATGTATAGTAAGGTTATATTAGATAATGTTCATTAGTGGTGTTGGTTGGATCAAGGAGTTTATTATAGAAATACATGAACAGTGTTGCAACCATCACCCAGATCTTTGCATAAATATAAGTAACTAGCTTTCCGCCCGCGTGGAGTTCGGTTATATCGTGTTTCCATGAGAACCTTTCAAAAGGCTGGAATAAAAACTATCCTATGTTCTTTCTCAAGGTCAACTCTATCTCTGTACCAAATTTCATTAAAATCAGTTCAGTGGTTTAGGCGTGAAAGCGTGTCTGTTAGACAGACAGACAGAGTTACTTTCGCATTTATAATATTAGTCCCTCCTTGTCGAAGAAAGAATCTTCGTAGCTTCGAAATGAAACCAGAAAGGAATAGAAATAATTTTTTAAAGAATATTTAGTATTTCAGACAAACTTTATTAACATTACTTACAAGTGACAATTACTTGCCCGCGTGCGTTCCCGCTCACTCTGTCTCTTTTCATTCCCTTCAGTTGCGTTAAACGTTAAACGCAACCTTGTTTTAAGTCTCATGTTTCACTTCCGTATTAATTAATTCAAAGAAGAAATAAATGCTTATTATTATACGTGTTTGATATAACTGATTGATTATTTTTAGGTTACACGTAAATATTGTAAAGATTATGGTTTTAAATATTCCAAACATTTTTTCGGATCAGTTGGTGAATCTAAAATATAATATTTTTATTGTTTAAAATAGAATTAATTTTAAATTGTCCAACATTTTAATGGACAAAGAACAATATAAAAATTAATTGAAAAAAAAATGTCGAATTGTATTGCTACGTGTTTGTAAAGACGGCATAAAACAAACAACCATAAACTATATTATGATGAATGATGATACATATATAAATGTAACTTAATATTTATTACATAAAAATATGTAAATATTATTAATATTTCTTTGGTTTCTTAAAAGGTAGTTATAATTTATTTCTCGATTTTTTTTAAATTTATCTCCTGTTCAATAATTTAAAAACGGAACGTAAAATGGAGAGATATTACTTAATAAACAGATATGAATCGTTTTATGTCAAAATAAGAGGAATTAAAATGTTCAGACGCCTTTTTGACTCATTCTAAATGAAAAACATCAAATCGAAAACTATCACGCTAGGTTTCGGGGAATGGTTAATTTATCCAAACTTGTTTATTGTACAACCTAAGTATATTAAAGCTTAAAAGTTCTATAAAAAGTGCAAGCAGCGCCATCTCGTGTATAAAAGAATTATATACACCGCCACCTGTTGACAAGTAGCATAACTAACTAAACCACGAGAGAACGAAGGACTAAATAGTTTGTATTAAAGTTTAATAGATGTCGCAAAAAACAGTATTTCAAATTTAAGGCATTAACCTTAACATTGTGCTACTTCCACCACAATGAACACTCGAAACCATAAAATTTATTATTTTACAATACTCGTATTTAAAAATACCATAATGTTTTATTCTATGTAAACTCACCTACTTTTAAGTTTAACGAGTGAAACAGAAATGCTAATCTGAAAATAATCTTTAGATATAAAAGAATTACTCCAATTCTTCCTTATTGCCAAATAATATGATTATTTAAATATAAACAATGTAATTAACGCCAAGGTTCATTGCGAAGCTAAGAGTATCCATGAGAAAGAAGAAATTACCTTTGACAAAAACGCCTTGAAGTTGAACCACGTGGTAAAATAGTATAAAAAGAATGAAAACACACGTACTTCGCTCATTTGAAGATTATTTTAATGTGGACGGACGTATAACGAAATAAAAAACATTGAAAATATTTAAAAAATTTAAATATTTAAACAAAATGTAATGGTGACAATTAATATACAATAAATTTCAAGTAGATTTGTATCGGAATAAATTAATTCCATCATGGATTCAAATTGGACTTTCCACGTTGGTCTTCGATCACCAAATCTCACGAACACCACCGTGAGTCTCCAAGAGAACTTCGAAATTGATCTTGAAGATACCAACTGGATCCTGACATCATCCTTCATCATATTCACCATGCAAACAGGTATTGTATAATGAAACGAAACCGCTCATCATTCCATGTATTCACAGTGCGTGTGTCGGGTCCATCGTTGTAGTGAGAGGAGCTTCAACAGTGACTGGGACTTGTGACCCAGGTGTAGGTTTATACCACTATCTAACGCGCTTTCAACGCTCACCTCCACTGTCCAAGCTCCTCTCTTTACCTAACCAAATTTATGTACCAAAAGTTATAATAATCACAGTATTATAAAGTAAATATGATGCACAAAGGGTAACTTATGTCTTATAACTGATGTGATTTTTGAAAGAGGAAACAAGACCATACTTCACATCTTTTAATACAAATTAATTTTTCATACGTATTTGTGCTAAAAATCCCTTCAGTATTGCTTAGAACGAAGTACTGATATATTATCTGTAGAGACAGAGAAAATTAATAAATCTGTGATGTTTTTCTATGAAATACTCTTTCGTATATTGTTGTTGTATGTAAAATTTAATATTATTCTTTAAATAGTATAGTTTCCTTGTAAATATTGTTAGTTATTAATTCATTGTAGCATAAAAATTACGATCACAAGTTTTTCTATCAGCAGAAAAATATATTTTTTTGTATTAATATGCTTGTAAGGATTGACAGCAGACATATGAAAGCATATTTGATCTGTGAACTGTATCCTTAGTAAAAGTTTGAACGTCAAACTTACAGTTTAACAGTTATTCATATCATAGCTACGTCAATAATATACGTCTTTTCGTCATTAATTAGAAATCTAGATTTGGAGTTTAAAATTAAAATGCCGACTAGTACTAAGATTTAAGCAAGTTAAATAATAAAATATACGTTCTAAAGAAATGAGGAATAAATATTTAAATTGAATTAGTTTAGGATTTATTATAGTCTTGTTTAAAAAGGAATTTTCTTACATTTTTTAGGAGCACAATTTACTGACATTGTAATTGTATCCATCGTTTTTTTCGTGACTACATACGCAGCGTAAATAGTTTTTCGTATATAAATCTTCACATTGAATGACAAACGACAAACATTAGGTACGTAGTGTAAGTTGTAGCGACGCCAACTTGTAGTAACCAGCCCGATATTTTCTTAGTAGAATAATTAGTTTATTATATTAATAATTATTTAAACACATTTACAATTCTAATTTAATTTTACATTATTGTTTAATGGGAGACTTACAGTGAATTCTAATTGGCTAATTGTTAATTATTTTATATGAATAATTATCTTTCAATAAGAGAAGAGTTCTAAGTTATAAAAACATTAGTTACATCATTAATGCTTGCTGGCATTTTAACAACTGTTATAAATCTATTAACTTGTTTCTTATTATTACTTCATATAATGATATCTAAAATTTTCGTATGTTCACATTTAATAAAAAACGCGTAGTATACATAACGCTCAGTGTCATAATTATCATGACTGTACATCAATTTGGTCAGTGGTGGCTTAGTGGTTAAAAGGCCCGCCTCTCATGCATGAGGACGCGGATTCGATCCTGGCAAGTATCAATGTGAGTTTTCCGAGTCATACGTACTTTCTAAGAGTATTTAGACATCACTGGTAATGCATTGATGTCAGCAAGCGGCCGGCGGTAAAAACAATTAGCCAAAACTATTCACAACATGTAAGGCAGACCCTGGCTAAAGCTGGGAAATTGCCAGGTAGAAGAAGGCGACTGTACATCAATTTATTTTTATTCCAATCCGTCTCCGAATTGGTTTTAAACTCCTAAACACATGTTTGCAGCACACTACACACGATACGTTTCCTGTTTCTCATTCAATCACCTAAATTAATATAATGTAACAATTTTATTTAGTATAACGTAACAATATGAATTAATGAAAAACTATTAATAATATTTTTGGAGCGTGAAGAATGAGAATTGGTGTATACAGAAAGCTTTTAATTTTTTTATGGAAAGAATAGTATTTCTTTAAAATAGAGTTCATTTATAATTATATATAAGACAAATAAGAATATATATACACTTTTTTAATTTGTAATCCAGTTTAAATCGTATCTGTTTAGTTTCAAACACTTCTACGTATATTGAATATTGATCGATAAAAATATGTACACAAATTTCAAACAGTCGTTTACTCTAAGTTACACATCACACTACATACGTAGCGTTAACAGTTTTTCATTAAATAATCTCTTACAAAAAACAGCCCTAGTAGTTTCTTTTCAAATTTGGATATATAGAGAGTGGAGCTTGGACGGTGGAGGTGAGCGTTTAACATGCGTTAGATAGGAGTCCCTTAAACCTACACCAGCGTCGAAAGTCTCAGTCCCTGTTGAAGCTCCTCTCACTACAACGATGGACCCGACACACGCACCATGAATACATGGAATGATGAGAGGTTTCGTCTCTAATTACGTTGGTTCTTGAATGAAAAACGTCAAATCTGTCGTACGTAGTATAAATACGCGGATTAATGTTAATCATTAATATATTCTTATATCTAATTCAAATCTTGTCCTCAAGCGGTTCCTTTCAGTAAATTATTCCCCAATTATATATATGTAATAAATCTCTGCTTTACATTCAATAATATATGTATAATATATTTAAATAACTTATTTGATATTCGTCACGCGTCTTGATTTTCGTAGTCTGTCAGACCGTTTAAATTTTAATTTAATGGTTGTTACTTCTGTTTGTGATTTTTGTTCCTTGATTCGTCATTAATTTATATGTTATGTTGAATTAATTTTAACATCTACTTTACATAATAATATGCCTACGTTACTAGTATGTGCGAAGATTTATAAATATTTAACTATAGGTAGGTGGTAGAGCCTAGCTGTGGTCAAGTCACTACAGCTCGAAAATGTGCTGTCTCGATTGAGGAAATACCACCCTCTCACAGAAGATCGGCGTGAAGTAGTCTTTAATGGCTGCGTTTCGTCCGATGAATGAGAGATTCGGTTGCCCTTTCCCTTTTCCCATCCTTTCCTACCCCTTCCCTTTTCCCTCCTTTTCCCTCCTTTTCCCATTTTCCCCCTCCTTCTTCCTATAGCATAAAAAAATACATACATTAAGTATATTATGCCTACGTAGATACTTTATAAATTTTAAACTATGAAACGCATCGTATATAGTGTTGTCAACTCGGTTTGAGGTACAAGTTGGATGAGAAAACCTACTACGTGTATTTCTAACTTAAATACATACAGTTACAACGTTTATGACGTACTTATTAATGTCCGTTGAGAACAAATACTAAGTGCTTCCACTTACAGACTACCATTTCATGGCTTGGCATTTTGATGTTAAGTTTTTGGCTTCTTCCTGAATGAAAAAGCGTTATAATACTCATGATTCAATAATTATTTTGTCAAAATAATTTAATATACATACCTATAGTAAAGAAATAAACTAGAAAAGCATAGTTTATTTTAAAAACATCAGTTTGTGGTTTGTACTAAGTTCCACGGCAATAAATGCTGGAATTATTGAGATGAAATTATCGAAATAAGTTACTTATTACCAAATGTCTTTATATATAATGAGATCTAAGACTTTCGCGAGTATTCATTTAAATGAAACTAATACTATTCGGATTACTATTCGTATTTCATTATTTTAACTACATAGTCCCGACGTTTCGGTTACTTCTCAGCAACCGTGATCATTAAGACGAGATGTGTCTTTATTATAGTTAGCTATAATTTCATATTCTTTTAAAACATATATAATTAAGTTTTCTTTATTTATTTCTTTTCTATCTTGATATTTCTTCTATGAAACCTTCTATTACCTTTTGTGTCATTCAAATCTCTATTACCTAAATGCCGAAGAAACATAACATTCTAATATGTTTACTACAAGTTTCCATCGTCCCTAAATACGGAAAGTTAACAGTTTATTCACATATTCATAATATAGTATTAACGTAGTTTACTGAGTGAAAAACGGAAAATACTTCGTAAGTAATGACGATGCTAACTTGTTCTACGCGTGCTTTAAAATTCTGAAAAGTAGTTTATTTTCTTTCTGAAAATAATAATTCATAGTTTTTAATATAATTTTTACTAATATTATAAACATAACTAAAAGATTACCATACAAAATACAGAAAAATGTAACTAAAATATTGCGATTGTATTGTAACAAATTAAATGACTTTTTTATCTTGATATATTTATTAATTAATAGGATAATTATGAGACATTAAGAGAACGTCGGAATCATTAAATAAGTATTAAATATTACAACTGATAGTTATATGAATACAAAAAGTATTTTTTGACATTTATAATTTTGACATTTGCGTTAGATAGAGGTCCCTTAAACCTACACCTGGGTCACAAGTCCCAGTCACTGTTGAAGCTCCTCTCACTACAACGATGGACCCGACACACGCACCGTGAATACATTGAATGATGAGAGGTTTCGTCTCTTAATTTAGGTTTCAATATTTGTGTATAATCCTTGAGATTAGACTCATAACCCGCATGAGTTAAGGTCACCATTTAATCTTTATGAATGTAGGTCATGTAGTTAAAATTTCGCTAAATTTGGTAAATAAAAATCTTTTTCCTGTTCAAAATTGTAAGAACTACAAGTATTAACATCATGTAGATATAAAGATATATAGTTTTTGTAATTTTTGTATCATATTATTATGATATAATATACAGGGTGAATGGTGAATTACTATCAATATTTAAGGAGAATACTCGGTACATGATTCTCATTCGAATTATGTAAAAAAAAATAGGTACTTAATTTTTGACCAAATTTCTGTATAAATAAATAAAGTGTGGACACGTTCCAAGTGTTCCAAGTGTGGACGCGTGCGGCGGCGTGCTGATACAACACTACGCCGCCGCACGCGCGCGTGTGTGTGTGTGTGTGTGTGTGTATACCTAATCTGTAGGGTGTTCACACGATGCGTAATTAATTACATAACTTTTGGTTAACTTTACTTAGAAGTTTATTAATATTTATGTTATATTAATTTTTATTTTGTCATATATGATCGTCAAATATCACGTCCTCAAGTATCGATAGTAATTCACCAGTCACCCTGTATAGGCGTTTATACGCCTGAAGAGTATTTTGCTCTTATGGGCCAAGTATGAAAATTTGGTAGTGACCCTTCTTTCTAAGCACTCGCGTCAGAAAGTATAGAATGATATTGAGATTTAAGTGTCCATTATTACGACTGTTGGCCAAAATTCGAATTAGTACTTTGACCTTAAACTAGGTTCAAATATGTATTTTTCTTCTAAATCTAATAAGTGCCGAAGACTTGGTGAGTTTTTTCGTATCATGGACATGAAGATTTGATTGTCCTTGATGTGTTATGAAAGTACCCTGGTTTGGGAGATGTCTAAGGAAAATCTTTAAAGGAAAATTAAGATTATTTCCGGTATTTATACAATCTGAGGATAATACAATTATTAATAAATTATTTGCTAATTTCATTAAAATTACTTCCAAGTACATGAGTTATTGCTGCATTTTAATAGTCTTATTACTTATTATTTTCTTGTTTTCATTTATTTTCTCCGTTTTTGGAGTCAGCAGCATTATACATACAATTGTATTACCCGGCGATATCCGTTAAATTTACGATAAGATTGTTTTCTAATTAAAACATAGTAGAAAATTAAACATAATTGATGTCAGTTCAGTATATTTTATTTCGTATTAACGATATTGTTTTTGTTTATATAAATATATATAAAGAAAATCATGTTATTTACACTACTTATATTTCAAGAACGGCTGTACGGATATGGTTGGAAATTGGTAGAGAGATAGCTTAGGACAAGGAGACGGACATAGGATATTTAATTCTGTTCAATCGAATCAAAAAAGTTTAATAAATTTCAATATCTGGTTATTTATATCCTCTAGGACGGAATAGAGTTCGCTCCATCAGCTATACATATATACCTTACTACTAATTCCGAAATTTACGCAGACAAGGTCGCGGGACAAAAACTAGTTATAAATAATTGTATGTTATAATATTAGGGTATATTATAATATAGTTTATAATGCTTGAAATATTCTAATTTGAATTTTATTGACACCAATATTTTCAACTATTACTTTAGACTGAAAAGGGAAGAAAAATTTTATGGGTTTCTTCCAAAACCATCAAACTTGTCAAAGCTTACGAAAAAATATGCACTTCTTCTCCTACCTAGCAATTTCCCGGCTATAGCCAGGGTCTGCCTTACATGTTGTGAATAGTTTTGGCTAATTGTTTTTTAGGACCGGCCGCCTGCCTGACATCAACTCTCTTTTAGGAATCAGCATTCATCAGCGATGTCTAAATACTCTTAGAAAGTACATATGACTCGGAAAAGTCACATTGGTACTTGCCCGGGCCAGGATCGAACCCGCGCCATCGGCAACGAGAGACGGGCCCTCTAGCTAGGCCACCACTGACTTAATAATAACTATAATATATATTTTTTGTCAAAGGTTTCGGTATGTTGGAGTCTGGCTGCGTGTCCATCAAGAACGAAGCTAATATCATGATGAAGAATTTAGCAGATATATCACTAGGCGGTGAGTTACTATAATATTAACAAAAAAAACTTTTCTGGTCATACAGACCTTAGTTTAAAGGGTTCTGTACATCTTTATATATATAATTCTTCTGTGAGTGTGTATGTCACTGAACTTCTCTCAAACCACTGGACCGATTTTGATGAAATTTTTTGTGTGTGTTCAAGGGGATCTGGGATTGGTTTAGATTCACAATTTTGTCCGCTGTACAATGTTTTTTTAATTAATTTTTAATTTATTGGTAGTTGTTGATACAAACTTTTTTTTTGACATTATATTTGACAACTAACTAATATGACAATCATTCTGTAGCACTTCAAAATACGGAGATTTATGGCTTCAATAGGTAAACTCCAAATGTATAATAAAAAAACGTAACAGATATTTCTTGATTATAGGGCGATACGAAGTTCGTCGGGTCTTCTAGTTTTTATATATAATTTTATATGCAAAATCCTCATTTTACATTAATATTTATTGTTTTTAGAAAAAATATCACCTATTCTTATCACATTTCACGTTTAGACTAAACGAATCGATCGTATTTTGTTTTTCAAATTCCTCAGTGATAAGGCTTGTCCTTCCCAAACATATATCTATTTTTAACGTTTGTTAATTATGTTTTCTTATTTTATTGAATTAAATACAGACAATAGGAACTTCTCATTCTTTCACTACTGAAACATATTAATCATTTTTAAAATTAATCATTTTTAAATATGATGATCATATTACATTTTACGTACTCCTGATAAGATGATCATCCATAATTTTATCACCAAATCCTCACACTCTCTGCAGCCAATTAGAAAATCAAGCAGACAAAGTTTAGCAAAAAACTACTAATGTATTTCTTAAGTTTAGTTCATATTCAAACTTCAAGTCCTCCATGAAATTCAAACATCTTGACTCATTTCCTAGGTCTGACTTATTGGATATTTGGCTACGGTTTATCTTTCGGTGATGGGCCGCTGTCGAATCCGTTCATCGGTGTGGGAAACTTCCTGGTAGACCCACCAGTTGGAGATGCCTTGATGGGTCCAGTCTTCGCTTCCTTTTTATTCCAACTTTCCTTCGCTACGACTGCCACTACTATCGTCAGTGGAGCTATGGCTGAGAGGTGAGTTAATAAAGCATTGTATAAATTTAATATTTTGTGTATAAATGTATTTTCTTTCATCCAATATTATATATTAGTTTAAAACTATTATTATTAATAGGTGTTCTGTATAAATGTTGTGTGTTTGGATAATTGAATCATAATTTTCTCAACAAATAGACTTCGAGCGATAATTTAAACTTTGTTAAAAAAATAGTTATTTTAAAATTTTCTTTGTTTTCGTGTACTTTTATAGTTAAGTAGAATAAAGGTATGTTTTATTAGAGTTTCCACATTTTAAATAACACGTTTTTTTAAAGTAATATAACTGTCAGTTTTTTAAATCAACTTATATTTTATTTTTCTCATATAATATGAAATTTTAATTTGTTTGAAGACAAATTTTTATTTTCTCTACCAAAACAAGATTTATGTATGTTTAATGTCATGTCATCAGCCTATCAGCACCCACTGCTGAGCAAGGCCTCTTTCTCACATAGAGAAGGTTTGAGCATTAATCACCACGCTTGCTCAAGACGGGTTGGTGATTTCAAACAATATGTTTAATAGATGTTCGTAAATCATCGAAATCACTGAATAGATTTTGGTATAATTCTACAGTTTACTGGTTATCAGAAGTAGAAGAAAACATCTAAAGAATAAGATATTTACAGTAGAACAATTCAACGTTTTAAGAGGACATTCTAGTGAAATTTATTCGTATTTAGTTGCTAACCTTAGTGAGATGTTGATAAATTCTCTTGGTTCTTTCCTTGAATACAGCTTAAGGTTGCGATAACATCTTGTCTCATCATTTGAATAAAACTAGTTAATATATAGCTACATTATAAACTTTACTTTAGACTAAACATTAATTTTATTAGACCTATTCACCTTTTCCTTGAATACCTTATAATAAACTGGACATAGCCAAGTCTAAAAGTCGCGGTAGCCTAGTAGTTAAAGGTCCACCTTTCATGCATGAGGGCGCGGGTTGTACTTTCTAAGAATATTTAAACACCACTGACAGATGAAGGAAAACATCATGAGGAAACCTGGACTTATAATTTTAAATTATAAGTTTAAAATCGCCAACACGTCTGGAGCAAGCGTGGTGATTAATGCTCAAACCTTCTCCATGTGAGAAGAGGCAGCTCAGCAGTGTGCTCTGATAGGCTGATGATGATCCAGGTTTATTTAAGGATTTCTTCCAGGTGTAACTTCAAAGCCTATTGCCTGTTCTCGTTTCTGAACACAATAGTGTACTGCGTTCCCGCTGGTTGGGTGTGGGGTCAACACGGCTTCCTCAACAAACTTGGTGCAGTGGACATCGCTGGCTCCGGGCCCGTACATCTTATTGGTTTGTATCATCTTATATACCTACCTTAATTATAACCACAAGCTTGCCCCGTCAAATTACAATCATACATATATCAGGGGCGTGTACAGAGATTTGGGTTAGCGTTAGCAGAAAAAGTTTGAAAAAAATAAACAAATTTTCATCCTAACATCCTCTTCTAAAACATTGATAATAATGAGATCTTTCACTAGTATTATTTTAAAGGACTAATATTTTCGGATTACTACGCGTAATTTATTATTTTTAACGGGCTGATGCGATGTCTGCCGTAATCACGGTTGCTGCAAAGTAACCGAAACGTGGGAAGTATGTAATTGAAACTACTAAAATAGTGCGAAGTAATCTGAAGATATTAGTTTCAATTAAATGAATATTCGCCAAAGATCTCGTTAGTTGGTTTATGAGTCAACAATTTTAACAACGGGATATTTACATGTATGCATCGGTTTCATGAAATGTTTTTATAGAAGCATGTAGTCTTATTAATGAAAAACTACTGATTATTCAAATTTGATAGTACCAATGTGATTTCTCATAGTCATATGTAATTTTTAAGAGTATTTAGATACCACTGACAGATGAAGGAAAACATCGTTAGGAAACCTGGACTTGTGTCAAATTATAAGTTTGAAGTCACCAATCTGCCTTGAGTAAGCGTGGTGATTAATGCTCAAACCTTCTCCATGTGAGAAGAGGCAGCTCAGCAGTGGGTTCTGATAATCTGATGATAATGATAATTTAAACTTGTGGTATGTAAAAGCAGTGTATAATAATTAAGAATTCTTATAGGAGGAGCTTCAGCATTTGCATCAGCGCTAATGCTGGGTCCAAGATTGGGAAGATACGCTCGTGGTAGCGCCCCACTACCACTTGGGAATCCAGTGAATGCTGTGATGGGCACTTTCGTACTATGGTGGGGCTGGCTGGCGTTTAATTCAGGGAGCACTTATGGGGTATGTTTAACTATTTAGTTTTTAGTCTAGTTATTTAGTATTGCTGTAGATTCTAAACCCGTATTTCATGACGAAAATAAAATCTTGAATTTACTTAATTTTATTGTATTGAAGGGTACTATATAACACTATTATTTCTACAATTTGGGTGTCTGTCATCTCCGTTTAACTGATAATCGATGTTGAAAAACCAATGTTATATGGATCAACTTCGTCTACTTTTATTTCAGAAAAAAATCTTTATCTTTATAGGTATAGATAATTAAAAAAAAATTGTAAAAGAAGTGGCGAGCAAAGCTAGCTATATATATATTTGTGTTATTGCTAAGTGACATTTAACTTGAACAATTAAATTCCAATGTTTAATTATATTTTAATCAACTTTTAAATATGATTTAAACATTTTTAACATACTTCTTACTGTAAAATTTAAGATTTTTCTGTCAGCTAGCATAAATAAAGCCTTAAAAATATATCCATTAAGTTAAAATCTCGACGATAGCTTAACAAAATAGGTTGTATTATAAGTAACTAATATTTCCGTGTTCAACAAAAGCAAACTAAATCTTCGTGCATATAACCAAAGACCAATTAGTAACAAATCATCCCATTAAGTATGTGATTCAACAATGAAGCCGTGATTATTTAAACTACTTCACTTTAAAATTTTCATTAACTACAAAATGGACGCCATTTACAGACACGCTATTGTACTTTTAACGACATCCAGAATTATATATTGGCTGTTTTAACTTAAAAAACAAACCTAAAGTCTAAATATATTATTCAACAGATTATTTTAGTTAAAATTAACATAGATTTTTCAAGTTTACACAATCGATAAAATAGTATTTCATTATCTGAATATAAACAAAAAGCATATAAAGCGTGAATTTTCGTGGTGGCCTAGTGGTTAAAAGGCCCGCCTCTTATGAATAAGGGCGCGGGTTCGATCCTGGCAAGTACCAATGTGATTTTTCCGAGTCATATGTACTTTATAAGAGTATTTAGACATCACTGATTAATGCATTCCCAAAGAGGGTTGATGTCAGGCAGGCGGCCGCGAAAACAGCTACACTATTCACAACATGTAAGGCAGACCCTGAGTAAAGCTGGGAAATTGCCAGGTAGAAGAAGATAAAGTATGAATCTATAATAAATTCTTGTTTTTATTACGAATTTAATACAAAAATACTTAATATGTAAGTAAGACCTTACGTTAGAAGATAATAAATATAATGAGGAATTGTCCTTGACAATTTATGTATAGAAAAAGCAGTACGTAAATGTTTACCAAACGATTGCAAACTACATACAGCGCGTTTGACGTTTCTCATTGAAAAACTATTTACATTAATATATAAATAGATTTGTGAATGAAAACTATTATTGCTATACGTATGTAAAATGAGATAAATTTATTATTTAATTGTTCGTAACCGGAACCTTTCTACGAGCTATTGTTTAAAATTGTTTTGAAATAATTTACATTTATTACTTATTCATGATTATATTGAAGAATTTTATTATATACTAGTTTTTGCCCGCGACTTCATTAGCGTAATTTCGAAATTATTGATATATGTATAGCTGACCGGGCGAACTCCATTCCACCCTAGAAGCCATAAATAACTAGATATTGAAATTTATTAAGTAATTTTTATTTTTCGATCGAACAGAATAAAATATCATATGTCCGTCTCCTGGTTCTAATCAATCTCTCCACCAATTTTCAACCATATCCCTACAGTCGTTCCTGAGTTAAAAAATAGTGTAACTAATACGACTTTCTTTTATATATATAGATTTTAAATGAATCAAAAATTATGTGACTGAATACTGTCTTGGATCCTGAAACAATTTACAATACAATATTAAAAAAGAATTCTTGTTTTTTACGTATACTGTGATATCTTTTCTTTTTTACTCGAACCATGAGTTTCCATCACTAAAGTATTTACAGACAGTAATTAGTTTTCTCTCATATACCTACATACGTTAATATTGCCATGTTTGACAAATTGTTTAACAATGAAGCGTATTATCGTACCATAATCATTGATAGATTTTTTCAAACAAGTTACCATTTCAAAGGAAATAAATTGATTGATAGATGGATGTTTAAATAACGATTTTTTTTGGTTTTAATATATATAATTGTTTGTGTAAGGTGAGCGGTGCTAAATGGCAGTACGCAGCTCGAGCCGCTGTTATGACAATGATGGGATCATTTGGAGGCGGTTGCTTTGGACTTTTGTGAGTTTATACATAATACATATTATACAATGACAAAACCTCTTATCGATCCTTGTATTCACGGTGCGTGTGTCGGGTCCATCATTGTAGAGAGAGGAGCTTCAACAGTGACTGGGACTTGTGACCCAGGTGTAGGTTTAAGGGGCCCTATATTACGCGCGTTAAACGCTCACCTCCACCGTCCAAGCTCCTCTTCCTACCTAAAATAAATCAAAATGATTGCGATAACCATTAAGTTAATTTAGATTTTTCATAGAATAGTGCTCCTAAATAGTATTTTTCTTACGATACTGCTAACAACAATGAACAAAGCTATAAAATTCAAGCAAAGCAGGGTGATATATTTAATCTAATCCAAACTGCTGTCTTCAGGTTTACGCTAATCAAAAATAAAGGTCGTGCTGACGTCATGGAACTCATCAACAGTGTTCTTGGCTCACTCGTTTCCATAACAGGTAAAATAATTTTCTTTATTATTCTCCTTATGTATATCACTAGTTTATACCCGCGACTTTGTTCTGTTGTATTTTAGAGTAATAACAATAGTAGTTAGTACTGTACATTTTTGATCTAATTGGTAATCTATTTAGTCTTTTAAAAGAAACTTAAATCTCATTATCTATAGTCTTTTTACTTCAACTATAAAATTCATAGAGGACTATGAAGAATTATTGAATAAATTATAATTTATCTATTATTCTAATTTCTAAACTACATTTTTCGAAAGTTTCACGAAAATACGTCCAGTATTTTTTGCGCTATCACAACAAACAGAGCTACATCCTCGCAAACTTTCTCACTTATTGATGTAGTCCAGGTTTTATTGGGACCAGTATATCATGAGCCTTATTTCCAGCCGGATGCTTCCTGTACCGGGCTTGGGAATCTCTGGTGATTGGCATGATAGGAGCTGCTATAGCTTCAGCGGCTACACCACTTTTTGATCGTCTAAGGATTGACGATCCCGTGGGAGCATCTGCTGTTCACGGGGCTTGTGGGTTTTGGGGTAAGTTATTTCTGTTACGTACTATTTTAATTCGGTTTCAAATTTAAGTACATATATCACATTTTATCATATATTCTTTAAGTTTAGGTATATTTTATAAAGATTGATATGTCAATCATTCTTATAAGAATTATTAGAATAGACTAAAGTTTTATCAAAATCTATCAGATTAAATAAATCAGTCGTAAGAGGTGCTTTGCTTTTCTCTCACAGTTGTTTTTAGTCTTTCCTTATAATAAAAAAACCAGACAACTCTCTTACATGCCCGCGTAGATCTAAATTTATGACTATGGACTACTAATATATACATATAACGCTAATATAATATGTAGGATTTGGACAAACTAAATAAAAAAACACCAGTTTTTCATTTATAAATTATAGTACATGAAAATTATGGTACATGAAAATATCAATAAATCTACGAGTCAAACTATTTACTCTCTATTTAGTACTTTTAATCTACATATAGTCATAAAGTATGTTTGTAACGTCACTATGTTTTGTCTGTAGGTGTCTTAGCTGTGGGTCTGTTCGCTGATAATCCAATACCGATGGAAACTACAAATGGGAGATCCGGGCTGTTTAAAGGTATTTAACAAATATTTTATACCCATTTTATTATTATATTTAGTCAAGTGTGAAGTTTTATGAATGAAGTTTGATAATGCAAACTTATCAAGGCGGTAGAGCCTAGCTGTGGTAAAGTAAATACCTCTTGAACATAAGATATGTTGTGGATTTCCATAGGCGATGGTGACTACTGCCCACTAAATAGGCTAGATGTTCGTTCACCACTTTTGTCATTAAAAAAACTTACGTAACAACTATAAGTACTATTCCGTCTCTTGGATATATATATTTTTTATAATAATAATCGTATTTTAGGCGGCGGTTGGTATTTGCTTGGGGTCCAGGCCCTCACTGGGGTCTGCCTGGCCGCGTGGGGTGCTCTAGTGACGATGGCGTTGTTGTGGTTAATTGATCTCGTGCTGCCGATAAGAATGGACCCCTATGAAGAACTATTGGGAGCAGATCTTACCGAACATAGAATACGACATGGACAGGTTTGGAAAAGAAACAAAAACATATAAATTAAGACCATTTAATCAAATACTTCTAAACATTTTGTCAAATATAACAGGATTTACATGATTTAAAACTATATTTAGGTTCATTTAAATATAATTGATGCTACAATATTTACCATAGAATACACTAAACTTTTCTCTTGAAAAATATCAAATACAAACGCTTATCCGAGTACAATAAAACTCTCGATAAGTTCAATAATAGGAATCTGTCAAAATGATTTAGTATTAAGGAATAATCGCATCATATTTACTTCCCCTTAGTCATAAAAATGGGTATTTCAAATTTTCGTGTACATTATAGCCTTCTCTAATCTTTATAGTCTGCTATAACCGAAGATACTTCCAATGAATATTACTAGGAATGGTAAAACATAACCCTCTTTTTTACCAGGTGGGTGTTACGCGAGCTGTTTCTGCTTTACGTCCTTTCTATCAATCTCCAAGTGTTGAACGTGTAGGAGGTGTTGGGGTCAATACAGGTCACGATCTCGTTGTGGACAAACTACACGAGGTATGTATACCAGGGTAATTTGAGTATAAAGGGTAAATAATGTCAGGTAAAGGTATAAACACTATAATCAGTAGGTAATAAGTTTTTTTACTATCGAGGATAAAATAGAAAAAGTGCGATAAAATAGAAACAATTAGATAATTATTCATTTTAATCATTAAAATCTTTTTTATTACATACCTATATTGGGTAATTAAATAAAATTTAAGACCAATAATAGTGTTTTATTATAATAATTATTGTTATTAAATAATAAATAATCATTGCTGATATGACAATTATATTTCAAACGCAGTATTCCAGACGAAAGAAGAATAAGCTACATCCAGAACTACAGGTGTATCCGAACAATGGGTTTATTGATGACGGCTCCGAACCTTCCTTCAAGAACAACGGGTTTCTTAACAAGAGACCTGGAAATCCAGAGAACGATTTACACAGAGCTTTAGACACCATGATCAATGAAATAGATGGCAGAAGTTCAAAAAGAAGAGATACCAGTTTAAGAAAAGAAGATTTCAAAGGAAAGAAGTTCAAAGAATTATCTGTTCATGAGCTAGAGGAACTAGAAGAAATCAGTGCAGCAGAAGATAGATTCAGATATAGATTCACAGAAGATGATTATAGGAATGACGTAGAGAGGGGCTGTTCTGCCAACCCTACTTTAAGATGGATAGATTAAGAGAAAAGTATATATACTAGCTGACCTTGTAAACGTTGTTTTGCTATATAAAAAGATAGAGGTTGGTGATGAAAAACTAAAAATTTTGGATTGTATGTACTTAGGCTACATTATAAAAAATTACGTCCGAACAAAAAAAATTAATGGTGAACAACCCTTATGACTTAGGGTATAAAAAAAAGATGTTGGCCGATTCTCAGACCTACTCAATATGCTCACAAAATGTCATCAAAATCGGTCCAGCCGTTTTGGAGGATATCTCTGACTAACACCGTGACACGAGAATTTTATATATAAGATGAAAATTAATTTCATTTTTAATCTGACGCGTCCTAAACTTGATGCGACCATACTAAATGTGCATTACGTTAAACGTGTAGTTTCAAAGTCATAAACTATCAGAGAAAAGTTTAAACGTGTAAGGATCTTTGAGATTACTCCCAAACTGACGTAACCATAGATTATTATATATTATTTTTAATGAATAATACTTAGAAACAGGGGTAACTATTCTTGTATATAAATTAATTTCTTCGTAATTGTTTAGTCGCTATTATTAACGAATATGTATTACATTTAATTATATTAATTAATACTCGAATAAGTTACAAATAATATAATTTCCCCATATATAATTGTCTATTGTCACGATGGATCAGTGTATGTAGTGGTTAAGATTTGACATCCTGAATGTCACAGGTTCAACTCTTGTTTGTGTCTAAATTGTTAATTTTGGTTAAAATACTTAACTATATGGGTTTGTAGATCTTAATATGTATATACAAAGAAATAGTAATTCAAGTGTATTCTGTAGTTATAATTATTACCTAAAACCAACAAACACACACATACACAAGTTGTATACAATTACTTAAAGTTTATAAACAAAAGTCTCATTTAAAATAGAAATGTTTATAACAAATGAAAGAACATAATTAAGTTTTATTTTATTAAAGTACAAAATAAATTAATTATTACATAAGAAGAAACGTGTTTTTATTTACAACAACTCCAAACAAATTATTATCGTTTATAAAAGTGCTCACTTAGGTTTCATTTTTTGTCTAAAGCATTTTGAAAATCAAAGATTCTGTATCAAATAACTATAATTAATAAGATGATATATTTTACAGTAGTTTTACTTGATATTCTAATATCAGTTATTGAAATTTTGTACAAATACAAATGAATGAACTGTTGAACAAATGGATCATCACATAACTGAACTATTGAACAAATGGATCATCATATAACTGAACTATTGAACAAATGGATCATCACATAACTGAACTATTGAACCAGTGATTAATTTCAGTCGGTAGAGCCTTAAATCCTTTGACAGCCTCCTTAATATCCTCGACAGGGATTCCCAAAGTGTATAACTTATATTCCTTCTGTACCCTGCTGGTCGTAGTGTCTCCTGTGCTATCTGTTCTGATAGGTACTATGATCTCCAATTGATGTAAATGTTCGAAAGCTTTGAGAATCACTGGCCGGGGCACGCTCTGGGTTGATGAGTTAGTGTTCGCGAACTTTGTATATCTGGAAATTATAGTAATATTTTGAATTAATATGTAAAATACGTTTTTAATGAAATACATTGAACAGTATTGAGATAACTCGATTGATATATGTAGAATAGTTTTATATCTTAGGTACAACATGTAACTAAGTTAGCCATTATATATAATATATATATATAGAAAGAGAGAGATAGAAATTAAACTATTGAGAAATAATTTACATGTGATATCCGTAATACTAAGTCAGTGGTGGCCTAGTGATTAAAGGGCCCGCCTCTCGTTGCCGAGGCGTGGGTACGATCCTGACCCGGGCAAGTACCAATGTGATTTTTTCGAGTCATATGTACTTTCTAAGACTATTTAGACATCACTGATTAATGTTGATTCCCAAAAGAGGATTGATGTCAGGCAGGCGGCCGGTCGTAAAAACAAATAGCCAAAACTATACCCAACATGTAAGGCAGACCCTGGCTATAGCTGGGAAATTGCCAGGTAGAAGAAGAAGAAGAAGAAGAAGAAGAAGAAGAAGATCCGTAATACTAAGTATGGAAAATAAATATATTTTTTAGTTTACGATAAAAATCTATAAAACTTCCATTCAAGCTCTTAACACTTTAATTACATTACATAATAATAAATGAGCATATAGTATATAAAAAAACTAGATTTTGTACATGACTTCACATGCTTTGTCTTGTATACTTTGTTTTGACGAAAAATAATAGTATTTATAATATATGTTAACCAACCGTTAGCGACATCTATCGTCTTTTTCCTGATATTTTATACACCATACAACTATTATGAATTGGTCCTACCGACCCCAGAGAAGTTTGAAGTAAAATATACCCTATACATTACTCTTACAATCTACATTATAAATTTTACCACAATCTGCTCAGTATTTTTGTATAAAAACTCGACAAATATCTATACATAGTATATTCATATAACATATATACATATATATGTTTAAACAAAACTAATATTTACTGATTACTACGCGTTTTTTACTATCTTAAAAGCTTCATACTTCCAACGCATTGGTTACTTTACAGAAACCATGATCACAAACACAAAATCTCATCTCGTAAAATAATAAAATACCCATAGCAATCCAAAAAATATTAATTTCATTTAAACAAATACTCATAAGTCTTAGATTATATTGTTGTAATATTAGCAATATAATTGCATGGTTGGTACAACTATCTTTACTTTATGATTGTTGCCTCTGTCAGTAGAAAAATATGTTTACACACTTTTTAGTTTTTTGTTATAACTTTTATTCGGTACGTCTTTTCTGAGATTAAAATATAGCTTTGTACGTTCACCTATATTAGAAATATTTTATTTAATTTCAACAGTTATATACCTGTGTAAAACCATTTCAAAGTTCATTGGTTGTCCGTCAAATATCTCCAAACCATGCATCATGGCTATGACCAGAGATAGTTCCAGGATAGATAGAGATTGGAGCAGCTTTACCGAGTGCTCCGGACACACTGTTTCATCCACACACGAAGAAACATCACTCACATGTATGTAAGGCTTCGATGATGATAGTTTTGATATTATTTGATACTGAAAACATTATATTTATAATTATTATTTATTTTGGTGGTGATTTAACATATGTATTTATAGTTATTTGTTAAGAATAATATTAATTATTTTGTTTTAAAATTTAATAAATATTTTTATTTAGAGTTATTTTTCAAGAGTTTATACTGTATTTTGATAAAATTACAGAACATAAGCTTAAAATTCACTTATAGTTTGAATGTTTCTAATACAAATAACTAAATCTCTTTCAAACACCATGAAAATTGGTGCAGCCACTGATAAACACTAAAAAACAGAGGATTGACAAAGAATAATCTTTTAAAAAGTCAATATACAGTAGAACTCCAATTAACTTTCGAACTCCGACTATCCGAATCGCCGATTATCCGAATCACTTTCAGAAAAAAAATTGTCCAAAAAAAGTCTAAGTGCGCTATTATTCTTCCCTCCGCGAAGTCAGTGTAGGCACAACGGCAAGTTAAGACCGCAAAACAGCTTACATTGACGAAGATGTTTAAAAAACAATGAGTTTTATTTCTAAACTTGTACATAAGTACAATTTATTTATATTTAAAACAGGTGAAAATATCATGTTTCTTTCATTTAATTCAATAAAAAAATGGCGCAATATCAAAACGTAACTTTTTTTTCTCTCCAATGGCAATTAAAAAAAAACTCCGATTATCCGAATATTTGATTATCCGAATGGGTCCCGGTCCCCATTAATTCGGATAATTGGAGTTCTACTGTACCTTAATATATATATATTAGTTCAAAAACCTACCATAACATTTCTGTATATCTGTTCATTAACCGTATAATAGCTGAATTTCTCCAAAACATCCATAAACTTATCATCATTCACCAACTCCTGTATGTGTGTGTTCCACTCATCTATGAATGTTGAGTCTATTTCAAAGTCTGTTACATCCATATTGCATCTTTTGATTACTTCCATCGGCACTGCATATCTATCTGTTTGTATGTCCTCTTGTATACCTGTAAATTGGTTATAAATAATAAAATATTTATATATATAGTTAAAAAGTATTATATATATTATATATAATACTATTTACTATTTAGATATCATATATTGGTAATTATAATATTACTAGCTTTCCGCCCGCAGCTTCGCCCGCGTGGAGTTCGGTTATATCGCGTTTCCAAGAGAACCTTTTAAAAGTCTTGGATAAAAACTATCCTAAGTTCTTTCTCAAGGTCAACTCTATGTCTGTACTAAATTTCATTAAAATCAGTTCAGTGGTTTAGGCGTAAAAGCGTAACAGACAGACAGACGGACAAGGCTACTTTCCCATTTATAATATTAGTAGGGATAAATATATTATGAAATACTAAAGTATACATATAAATATGATTATATCATAATATATTAGTAACTAGAAAAGACCTGGCGAACTTCGTATCGCCCTATAATCAAGAAATATCTATTACGTTTTTTTATTTATATTTTTGGAGTTTACCTGTCAGCCATAAATCTCCGTGTTTTGAAGTGCGACAGAATGATTGACATATTAGTTAGTTGTCAAATCTAATGTCAAAAAAAAAGTTTGTATGGGAAATAGAAAAGGGCTGTTTTTATGGTTTTCCCAGTAATGAATCAATTTTTTTCAGCTTTTATACCTTCTCTGAACCTCCACGAACATTTCAAGACTAAGATAAGATAAATCCGTTCAGCTGTTCTCGAGTTTTAGCGAGACTAAGGAACAGCAATCCATTTTTATATATATAGAAGATTATACATATATTGGTGCAAAGAAAATTGTATATTACTGAATTTATATATGATTTTTTAATTTAGCTTTCATTAAGGGCAATATTCAATTTGTGAGAAATTTTACAAGTTTTCCAGTTAGAAGAGAACATTATAATACACTAACGTACATACATACATCATAATATGCAAAATATAAAGAGGTTTCATCTCGTTTCTTTTCCACATCAAAATAATCATCTACATAGGAGATTTAATTACAAAACAGAACTAAATTATCTTTTATTATGTTTAAAGATATAATGTTAAATAAACTTACATTCAGATTTCTTTCTTTTCCTTTTATCTTTCCTCCGTTTACCCAAACTGGTCGGTAAGCTCATTGTATCAACGAACAATCTCTTACAAGATGTTAAGGGATCGGAACAGGTCTCATTGGGAAACATGAATATGTGACGATGAGAGAATCGTGACTTCACTCGTTTTTCTAATAATTCCATTACATCCATACGATTTGTTACACCTATGAGATAAATGAAACCTCTCATCATTCAATGTATTCATGTGCGTGTGTCGGGTCCATCGTTGTAGTGAGAGGAGCTTCAACAGTGACTGGGACTTGTGACCCAGGTGTAGGTTTAAGAGGTCCCTATATAACGCGTTAAACGCTCCTCTCTCTATATAATCATTAATTTTTATTATTGACAATGTTGAGATGAGATTATATAAAAAATGTATATATTGTCGCTTTGGTGACTATTTCAGAAAGTAGTAAATTCAAATCCTGCTTATGTAACAGATGTTCTCATTACTTTAAATCTAAATTCCTACCAAACTCTTATACAGTTGACAATAACTTTGATTGTATTTTTTACATTAAAATTAATATAATAGTAATTTCTATAAAGATTAGATAATTAATATTACATATATACATACCTAAAACACACATTGGTGCTTGTTTACTGTGTGTGATATCAAATAAGTTGTACAATAATGTCTGTGTGCGACCGCTGTGACAAAAAAGATCAAACTCTTCCAAAATAAAGATCATGCTTTTACATGTCCGATCTGTGCCCGTTTTCAAACAACTCAGGAGAAAGCTGAGGTTTTCCGCGAATGTACCAAATATATGATCACCGACTGCATTTTCCAATTGCATCTGAAATTAACGGCAAATGATTTAAAGCAACTTGAAAGTATTATGGTGTTTAAACACCTATTCTTATGTATAGACACAAGACCAAAACCAGATTGGGCTCACAAAAATTTCATTGTGCATTATGTATGTCAATTCCCATGCTAGTATCTGTTTAACATTAATTTATTTAAGATCTTAATGCAATTATACACTATTAATGCAATTTAAACCTAAATAAAACTGGAATAAATGAATTACAATCTTTAGTTAATCCGATCCCTGTATATAACATATATTCTGCATTATGTATATGACAAAGTCATTTATTAACTTTTAAAGCACAGAAATTGAGTTATTCATAAGAATTTAATCATGATGGTCAACTTAATGAAGAAAGAAATATGGGAATCATAATATGAACTTGATTCTAATATATGTCAGCATAATATTTAAGCTCGGCAAACATCTACAACACTATACTACAACAATATAAGAAATATTGCAGATGTTCATGAGCATCGGTAACTACTTCCCATCTAGTAGACCATCTCTTTTTACAACATATATAATATATACATTTGATTATAATTTACCTGAGCAGTAATAGATTTCAGAGCAATCTTTTCATCACCATGTATCAAACCATTGAGTTTAATGATGAGAGCATCGTTCTGCACATCAGCTTCTTGGGAGACTTGGTGTAGCACGGAGTTAAGGAGCTAAATATAAAATACATATTTCAAAGCCATTTAATTGTATAACAAAGTTTTGAACTACTTATAATGTAAATATAAATCTTACTGTGGTCTTTCCACATCCTCGAGGGCCGATAATAAGCGCTGAATGTGATTCTCCATGCAATATAACGCGAGTTATCAAATCATAAACATGTTTTCGTTCTTCGTCATGGTTTCTAAAATTTATATTGTCCTCTAAGATTTTTAATTTGATGTATTTTCTAACACGTTTTATTTGCTCTGATATTGACTGAATATCAGTATCAAGCATTTCTAAGTTTGTTACGATCTTTTGTTTCGGTAAATAGGTTTTGTAAGTTATTCAACCGGCTATACTAAAATTCGCGAATGGCGCCAAATAAACATAACATCAATATTTGACATTGACATAATAACGTTATGTTTAAAAACTATTAATAAGGTATTTTCGTTTGATATGAATTGTATCGGTACGTAGTAAATTAACAAGTAAAGTGTGTAAAGTTAAAAGAATCTTGTAATATAATAAATATAAAATAACAATATTCTTAAATATGGGGTTAAATTTATATTTTCTTTTTGTTTAAGGTATACTTTCTTCAATCCCTTAATAATTGTTGAAGTAATACGTGCGTCATGTTTTGTTATACTACCTAATCATCTAAAATTTTATGCGCATGTGTTGACACTCCTCTGCCTGCGCAATGCGTGAACTTAATGAATCGATATTGTACGATACACATGAGATTTCAATTTAAAATATTACATTTTAGCATTTTTTTTTAATTTAGACATCAATCTAAAATTTTAATCTTAACAAGGTCTATAGAATTTAAACTGTTTTTTTTTTTTAATTTAACAAAACTCATACTAATCACTGCTATTCCAATTAGCTCTCTCTATTCAAAATTGCCCTTGTAAAATAGCATTTTCAAATATATTTCTTATAGTAAAATTTTCTTAAGACATATCTTAAGATAAATACACATGATTGATGTAGCATTCGCAACATTTAGCTCTGATTTTTTGTCTTTGTCACACTCCTTGGGTGCGTTTTGCTATCCCTTTTTTCTGACCTTAAACTCCGCGGATTTTACTTGGTAACACACGTGATAAAATCACGGAAAATTGCTAAAAGTAAATTTAGTTTCGCCAATAGTTATAGTGAGAAGTGATTGCTAAAATTATATCTTTTTTATCTTTATAAAAATAGTGTTAAATTTTGATAGATGTATTCAAATAATTATGTTGGCATGTTGTATTCGGACATAATAGCGATTCAGCGGACCTAGTGTCTTAGTAAATTGACTAAATTCTAGTGATTTTTAAATTTATTATTAAAAAATGAAGCTTGTTTGTTATTGTCTTATAAATGAGAAGTGGTGAAGTTTATATTATAAAGAGTGTGTTGCAGGTTCTAAATTGCTCAATATTTTTTATTGCACATATCACGAGCAACAAATACACACAATGTAATTTGTAAAAATTTTTTTGATTACACCGGTGTTATGTTGCTTTCGGTGTTCATGTAAAGAGGCTAAAATTGTTAAATAGCAGCAGAAAAAAATTGTTTTATGCTTTTAATTGTAAGTCAAGCTTTGTATTTCTTTAAATTTTATATTGATTATTGACCATAACTTCTTTTGCTTTTTGCACTATAAATTCTATTAAGGTCCTCCAATTTTATATAGTTTTATCCTGTGTAGTGCCAAAAAAATATATTATAATATATCATATATTTTGATATGAGTTAAAACATTATAATTTTGCTTTTATTATGAATGTAATTTGTTTCTGAACGTTAACTCGAACAAATCTTTACAAAAACCCTAATACCTACATATATATCGCATCTGTGGTAGTTTGATGGCCTCGCTTTGTCTTTTGACTTTTTCTCGCATGTTAAATGTTTATTTTGTTTTGTGAATGTTACTGTGAATCCTGTAATTATATTGAACTTTAATATTTAATAATTACCTTACACGTTAATTATACATTGCATAAAAGGTAAGTATTTAATTAATGTTCTATTATATATATTTATTGATAAGAGGTTTTAAAGTGTCTTAGTGTATTTATGTGTAACTCAGTTATCGGTCAATTGCAATAGTTACAGCAATCTAAATGAAGCGGAAAGTTTTATCGTCATTTACTTTATTAAATAGTTCAAATTAACTATTTCCATTGTGTTGTAACTTGATAGTTTAAGTTTTTCAACTGATATACAAAGTTATCGTAAAGGTAGGGGAGTATGAGGTATAATTATTAGGAATGCTTAAGACTCTTATCTCCAATTGGAGTCGATTTATTAATCTATATAAGCAACTTTTAATCAATTTTTAAATTTTTCTATCTCTAGTCTTCCAGAATAATACATTTAAACAATGTTTTTAAAACACAACAATAGTGGATCCAAATTAAACAAATTTACATATAAATATATTTAAATATGTGTTAATTTCAAATTTGTATAAATAAAATGAGAATTACAAATTTAGATAATTTTTTTCTTTACAAAAACATGAAATAATATGGAAGGTACATGATTAATTAAACATTTCCTTAGTCATTAAGATAGTTAATTAAAATTTTAAATCTTGAATTTTATTTACAGTTGTAAATAAAACTATTTAATTTAAACATTCTCAAGGTTATTTCAGTTGTTAAATCATGATTTTATTGAACAAGATTTCCCTTGTTATGTTAATTTACTTATAAAACAATTCCTGACAATTGTTGTATGTATATTCCGACAAGAATTTACCCACTCTCTATAATTTTGTTCTTAAAACATACTAGATTCCTAATATAATATATCTTAAAATATTAAAATATATACTTATTACTTAAATTAATACTATTTATGCTAGCAGAATTTTTTTAAAGAATTATACTTGTATGTATAAGAAGTTGATAAAATCCTTTGTTCACTTGTAAACAAAGATTATTTGTTGTGTATAACAATTGCTATTTATAATATATGTTTGCATTGTTAGTTGTTGCTAGTATTTTCTAATAACACATAAACCATATTGATTTTGAAGTAATAAATTATATGATTTTCTTTGATTATAACTCAAATTTCATTTAGAAGTACAAATTGTGGGTTTTACTTGTTATTAATTGAGGATTTCTTGCGGTAAATGATTTCCTAGCTATTATACCAATTACAACCAATTTAAAAGTAAAAATATTTAGTGGAGATGAAATCATATCCTTATGTTGTGATTCATGACGGAAAAGGTTTAATAAGTTTAATTTAATTTATTAGCTTGCATGACTAGTTTAAATATGGATTTGCTTGAAATTCAGATGTAGTTTAGTTATTTTTTTCATAGACTTGTTATTGTTGTGTAGATGATGTATATACATATCTATATATCTACATACATTATCTACACATGGTATAAGAACAAATGTATGTTTGTTAATTCCAGATGTATATCAAAATAGTATACAATGGAAGAACAGGCGTGCCTTGTGCGAGCTCGCTCAGATTCTGAGAATTCATCAAAGCTCGGTAGCTTCGGTTCAATATCTAGAACGATGACATACACCGACACCAGAATCAGTGGTATGATAATATTTGTGTTGATATAATATTAGTATTCAATAAAAGTATATTATATATGTATTGTGCTAGTAGAAAGCCTGAATTACAGAACATAATATAATAATCTACCTACACTATACTTGACATCATATTATTATTAGAGTCAGTAGTGGCCTAGTGGTTAAAAAGCTCGCATCTCATGCATGAGGGCGCGAGTTCGATCCTGGCAAGTACCAATGTGATTTTTCCCAATCATATGTACTTTCTAAGAGTATTCAGACATCACTGATTAATGCATTCCCAAAGAGGGTTGATGTCAGGCAGGTGGCTGGTCGTAAAAACATTTAGCCAAAAACTATTCACAACATGTAAGGCAGACTCTGGCAAAAGTTGAGAAAATTGCCAGGTAGAAGAAGAAAAATTATACTTGACATATTATTGTTATTTAACACCACCCACCAAGTATAACTAATACACAACAAGAATATACTCAATGATGGAACCTAATATAGTAACATGATCTACCTACAATATTTGATAGACTACATCTTATTTGGATGTAATGCCATGCTACTTAATGCCATCCCAGATAAAATTTGTCATGAACACATGTATAAGAATATATATGTAGTTGTCATCTCTGAAAGTAATGAAGAAGAAATTAGTTTGAGATAGTCAGAGTGCTTTAGAGTTTCATGTTTTCATCGTGTTTGAACAAAACGCAGATGTAATATTACACATTTAAATTCTGTTTTTATGCTGTGTATTTTCCATGTTGAAGAAAGTTAGTCTCCTGACTAGTTCTTTACCTGGAATTAGGGTCTATCTTCTGCTAGAATTAGTTTCTATCAAATGATTCATAATATAGACGAACAATAGAGCTTTATGATATATAATTAAATGAAAATTTAATTATTTTTGAGACATTAAATTTATTATTTGTAGTGTCAGGCACAGAAGGCGGGGGAGAGCCGGCAAGTACGAACATGACACACATGCCGCCGGAAAATACAGAAGGGAATGAGAGTGGTGAGCTCTTGGACTATAATGATTCCAGTGTTCTGGAACAGTTCCACGAGGATGCTATACGACAGGTGAGCGACTATAATGGACTATTATCATAAAATGGACTATGTGCACAAAAGTGCTATCTTCTTGTTGAGTTTATATAGTTGCCAGCCATAATTAATGTCTATTGACTAATGATCAACTTTGCTAGCCACAAAGAAAAACGATTTGTCTATGACATGTTTTAATAAATTAATGTTTTTAGGGAAAAGTTTGTACATCGCTTGTCCCAAAAAGATATAAAATTATTCGCTATTATCCTGAGCATTTTTCGTAGTTTTTTACATTTTTATGTAAAGTTTCTGTTCAAATTTAAATGCCCATGATATTTTTATTTCCAGGCTGGGTGTGGTTTATCCCAAGCTCGTGTTTATTTGGCGGTGTGTCTGGCCATCGCTGGCGCTTCCTTGGAGCTTGCTTCTATAGCTTTTGTTCTACCATCAGCTGAGATAGAGCTGTGTATCCTACCACATGAGAAGAACTGGCTTGGTTTGTATATTTTTATGGTATTTATAGAAATATTAGCTGCGCCCCGCTGTGTTACCCGCGGATTCCCGAGATTTCCGGGATGTAAAGTAGCCTATGTGTTATTCCTGGACGTCAGCTTCCTGTATATAAAACTTTATCAAAATCGGTTCAGCCGTTTGAGCGTGAAGAAGTAACAAACATACACACACACTCACAAACTTTCGCAATTATAATATTAGTAGGATCAGACTAATTAACTGTGTAGAAACAGAATTCTTCGTGTTTCTTATAAACCTATCGTAATTTTTTGTTCCTTAGACTTAGTATTTTTATCTGTTCAAAATTTATTGGAAAATCATATAAAACACTTACATATTGATTATATATAAATGACATAGTATATAATTTATCAGCAATACTTAATCATTATATTGGTACCAGTATATTATAATTTTTTCCAACATGTCAATGTATCTGTATGTTGGTAGTGCTAATTAGCATCGTGGGCTGGTCTCTGGGCGGTGTTGGGTGGGGGGCGCTGGCTGAGCGTGGTGGGCGACGCCGCGCGTTACACGCAGCCCTAGCTGTGAACGCCGTGTTCGCAGCCATCGCTGCGTTCATGCCCACGTATGGGACGTTCATGATGGCGAGGTGGGTGATGCACTAATAAAATTAAACCCTTCTTTATCGATTGTGACAACACTATTCATTATATTGTACTTGTAACCATCGCTATTGTACTAAATAAGGTTATTAAAATGTCTATAGCACTATTGTGTTGTAATATTAAAATTGAATTCTTCTTTACCGATTGGCACAACAATATTATTTATATTGTACTTATAACCATAACTATTGTACTAATTAAGTTTATTAAAATGTGTATAATGTAATCTCTTAATAAATCACGTTTGCTAGAGTTTTGCAATTCTTTTAAATATTAATTTTATCACCGTATGTATAATAAGAAGTGGTACTTACAATACTATTCTCTTATACAGGGTGACTGGTGAATTACTATCGATACTTGAGGACGTGATATTTGACGATCATATATGACAAAATAAAAATTAATATAACATAAAAATTAATAAACTTCTAAGTACAGTTAACCAAAAGTTATGTTATTAATTACGCATCGTATGAACACCCTACAGATTAGGTATACACACACACACAAACGCGGGCGGCGGCGTGGTGTTGTATCAGCACGCCGCCTCACGCGTCCACACTTGGAACACTTGGAACGTGTATTTATACGGAAATTTGGTCAAAAATTAAGTACCTATTTTTTTACATAATTTGAATGAGAATCATGTACCGAGTATTCTCCTTAAATATTGATAGTAATTCACCAGTCACCCTGTATATATCAATAACCAGACTATTATAAAAGAAAGTTTTATCAATTCAAAAACTTTTGGTATACTTAATTCACACATCACAATGTCTTTATTTATTTTATTTATTTATTTATTAAGATACACCATCGACTTATCATAATAACTAACACAATATTATAATGCACTAAATATTCAATCCAGTATGATTTGCCTTTACAGGTGTATACAACATTGGTCTTCCCCAATCTTAATCAAAGACTAACCTATACTCTATACTCCAACCCAATCAGATTCTGCTCAGCCCTTGGTTCCGGTGGCATTATTCCCACCGGGTTCACATACTGCGGCGAGCTCTGTCCCCGTCAGTGCCGCACGCTGCTGTTAGCGTTGCTGCCAGCTAGTATGGGAGGCGGGATCTTGCTGTCAGCGGGGCTGGCTAAATTAGTTCTGCCAGATAATGGCCATGATGCTCTTATAGAGAATAAAGAGCATTTTAGTGCTTGGCATCGGTGAGTTGAGAATATTATATTGTATTAAGTTGGTATATATATATCCCTACTAATATTATAAATGCGAAAATAACTCTGTCTGTCTGTTATGCTGTCACGCCTAAACCACTGAACTGATTTTAATGAAATTTGGTACAGAGATACAGTTGACCTTGAGAAAGAACATAGGATTTTATCCCAGACTTTGGAAAGGTTCTCTTGGAAACGCGATATAACCGAACTCCACGCGAGCAAAGCTGCGGGCGGAAAGATAGTATATCATATAGTTAGGATACTAACAAAATCAATATAAAAATATATTTTTCTTACAAAGCCAGTACTTGTAAATAACATATCAAACCTGAACTAATTATTATTTTATACCAAAATACTTTAAATAAGTTTAATTCAATTTTAAAAATATAAACTTAATAAAACTAAATTTTTGCATCACATCATGTATAGTCATTATTTTAATTAAGATTTTATTAGATATAAGTGTATATAATGATTAATTTAGAGTCATTGGTGTCCTTGTGGTTAAAAAGCTCGCCTCTCATGCACGAGGGTGCGAGTTCGTTTCTGGCCCTGGCAAGTACCAATGTGATTTTTCCGAGTCATATGTACTTTATATGAATATTTAGACACAACTGATTAATGCATTCCCAAAGAGAGTTTACCTCAGGCAGGCAGGCGGCCGGTCGTAAAACCAATTAGCCAAAACTATTCACAACATGTAAGGCAGACCTTGGTTAAAGCTGGGTAATTGCCAGGTAGAAGAAGTATGTAATGATTAATTAAATATATTTCATGATCCATAGGTACCTGTTAGTATGCACGATCCCAATCCTTGCATCGCTAGTAAGCCTTATATGGACTCCGGAGTCGCCTCGATATTTATTGGATGTTGGCAGAGAGGTGGATGCTATGATGGTCTATCAGGTAATAATTCCATTAATACCAAAAAAAAAAATATAAATTTATATGAAACTAATATTATTCTGATTACTAGTAGGATTTTATTATTATAAAGCCGGTTGCTGAAGAGTAACTGAATCAGTTAATTCAGTTAACTGGGAATCTTCTTCACATTTATGGGGTAGAGCTTGAAAATACAGCTATGTTTTTCACAGTTTTACTTGTTTAACAAAACTTTGCGACAGCGTCTGGCACAATATACTTATCCGTAAACTTTATTGGTATGGCAATTTCGTGACCGTGCTTGGATTTTTGACTTTTGAGATCTACTACAAGGAATTCCCTACTTGTATAAGCGAATGGCTTTTAACGTATGGGTTCAGGAATCTCTCATCAATTAGAGCTGGAAATATCTCTCTTGCATACTGTATGTGTATTATAATTTAAAAGTACCAAAAAAAATGCAAAAAGTATAAAAACTATTTTATAATGAAGTATTACATCAAACTAAAAATTATTAATTATTGTTATTAACTCAAATTAATTTGAAAATTTAATTTATTTTGCATCTAATATATTTATTTAAACACAAATCAATTTATATTGTTATAAAACTGTTAAATAATTTAAATTCTTTTTAATTATATAATTGATCCTAAGAAAACAATCTTGTGATAATTACTAATGTTTAATATATTTAGTGCATGCTCTGATTGCCTATAAAAAGAAATACAATTATGAAGTGTGTTCAATTGTTAACTATATAATATTTGTAATACTATTATCATTTCTGTTGGTGATCCTATAAAATAAATAAATAAATAAAAAAATTAACTATATACTTAGATATATTTTCCAACACTCTCTGCAATATTCTCCAAGTGTTGAGTTATATATATATATATTTTATTTTTTCCAGAACATTCAATCCGGCAATCGTAAGCGCGCATCCGACGCTGACTATAGGCTCAGCGAACTGGCTTTGCCTTCCAAGAGACGACCCCCAGCCCTTCATCACGTGCGACATGGACTTAAAATGGTACACAATATATACAACCCCTAAAAGAAATATGTGTTCCGACCCTTATCTTATAATTCCGTAAATATATTGATTCATAAACCCCCAAAAGAAATATAATGTGTTGTGAACCTTAACTTATAATTCTGTAAATATATTGATTCTTGGACACAACCCCCAAAAGAAAAAAGTTAAAGGTTAACAAAGTTAAAGGTTAGAACACATGAGATATATATCTATGTAAAAAAAAAATTAAATAACCTTCAACAAAGTTAAAGTCTTTTAAAAGTAAAATATGTCGAAAGACAATAATATATACATAGAATGCTTCATTGATCAAAATGAATCAGGACACTATAATTTTATTCGTAAAGTAACTGAAGCGCGTCTTTCGGAGGTAGCAGGTTCGACTCCTGATTATCTCGATAATTTTTTCATTCTAATGTTTATCTAAAAAATTAGGTTCTCACTTTTAACTTATGATTTCGTTAATAAATTGATTATTTAAACTATTTGATATTAAATTCTTCTATTGAGAAGTTATTCATCTATTTATTCATTTATTCTTCTTTCAATTTCCAGTTCTGGCAGGCGTTCTTCCAGTTATTCTCCAGTACGTATCGAAACACGACCATCTCACTCACGGGGATGCTGCTCTTCACTGTCGGCATACAGGTGATGACTGATTGAATGATTAATTGATTGATTGAGTGATTGATTGATGATATTGTTTGTTTTTTTTATTTATATTTAATGGCTATATAGTACTTGGCTGTGGTCCCATATAAAAAAATATCAAAGATAAAATTATTTTCTACTTTGTTAAGATATTTGATTCGTCAATTGATTATCTCTTATTTGATTGATTTCTTGTTGCTTGTTTGTTTTCCTGTAATAAAAAATTCAAGTTTTGGAGAAGGTCAATATATATTCTCCTCACTGTGCAACTTTTACCGTCTCATTTAATTTCATTTAATAAAATATAGTATTGAAAGAACAGTATTAAATTCTCTAAATTCAGTGTTTACTTTTCATATGTTCAATATTAAATGTTATTATATTATTGTATATATATTATTATAATATTTCCAGTTCTATCTATCGGCCTACGTCCCATCTACAGTGACCAAGTTAGAAAACGAAGCCTACGAGCTATCAAAACAGAGTTACGTGAACGTGAGCTACGACGACGTTCACTACAACGAGACGTTGGAGAACGTCAGCTACGAGGACGTCAACTTCACGAACTGCACGTTCAGGGACATGATCATGTCACACGTGAGCTTCGTGAACTGCACGTTCGTGAACACCGCGCTATCAAACATCAAGACGTCTTTTGTTATATTCGACAACGCGTTATTCGTTAATAGCACGTTAGTATATTCAAAGCCTATTGAAAGGCCTCTTCTCACATGGAGAAGGTTTGAGCATTAATGAACACGCTTGCTCAAGACGGGTTGGTGATATCAAACTTATAATTTGATATAAGTCCATGTTTCCTCACGATATTTTTCTTCATCTGTCAATGATGTCTAAATACTCTTAGGGGCCGTTTAAGCACTATGGAGGGGCGGGGTGTCTTTGCTTTGCTTATTTTGGATGACATGGGGGGTACTTACTTTTTTATCAAAAAAAAAAAAAACTGATAGGATATTTAGACCTGTAAGAGTCGCTGTTCGTCGTCCTAATGAACTGATGTGCATTAAACAAAATTTAGAGCACCATGATGTTGTATGGCTCGACATTCCAAAATTGGATGAAAGTGCGCAGAAATTACTAAATACTATCATCAATAAAATCAAATCTCTATCCTAAATCTTTTCTTATTTTTAAAATTATAATTATTATGATATTAAAAAAAATAATGCAGTAATTGGAAATTTTAAATAAGCATGTGGGGAGGGGGTAAGGGCTTTGCTTACTTTTGCTGACGAGGGGGTTAAGGGGGTAAACAAATGGAATAAATCTGCTTACGTAACATTTGAAGCCTTATAAAGTACATATGATTCGGGAAAATAATTGGTACTTACCAAGTTCAAACTCAAATAACTTTATTCAATATAGAAGCATTACACTTTCTTATTGATGGTCAATTGAGACACTACCACCGGTTCGGAAAAGGAAATACTCTGACCTGAAAAGAACCAGCGAAATAAAACTCAGCGGGTTTTTTTTATATTGGTTTTGAACCCGTGCCCTCATGCACGAGAGGGGTACCTTTAACCACTAAGCCACTACGACTTTTGATGTAAATAGTTGTTTATCGATTTTTTTCCCTCTCTAGGATCATCGACACGGATATGGAGACAGGTCGTGAGCTAGTTTCATGTATCTTCAATACAACTACAGTCCGCGGTATGACAGGCTCGTGTCCGCGACACGCTGAGCTCCGCTGGACACAACTACCGAGGCTGAGGGAGAGGACGCTTGGGGCTCATGCTGTACTGGCCGCTGCTCCGCCATTGGCTGCAAGGGCTGCTCATGGATATCCCGCGCATGGTGAGATATGGGCGGACACACACACACACACACACACACGCACACAGATACACCCAGAAACGCATGGCCATAACAACAAACATACGCACACACTCACACACACACACGATGATATATTCCGCACGAGGAAGGTCGGGGACATACAGACACAGACGCTCACACAGAAATAACTATAATTTTATATATTGCAATCAGCGTGTTTCTAATAATTTCGTTAATTATTATAAATGCGATAATTTTCTAAAGGCTACTTCATCAAATACATATACCAAAATATATCCTGAATGAGCTACATACATATATCTCATACTATAACTAAAATAATCACTACCCTCTCCCCAGCTATAACATGTTCGATCCTGCTGCTCCTCTCGCCGGCCCTGTTCGTGGCTCCACACGAGACCACCCTGTATATCATCGAGGCTCTCTACGGGTTGCTTTCAACCATCATATTCTTCAGCGTCGGAGTCAAGATATTGGACACGTATCCATCTAATTTGAGGTTAGTTCTATATATATTATCAAATATTCATAAGATTTGAGTTCTCTACAACCTATTAAAAGACTTAGGCCTGTCCAGAAATAATATCAATTCATTTTTGGAATGTACTTCGAAGGCAGCCCTAGTAGGTTACTTTCAAATTTGGTAAAGAGAGGAGCTTGGACGGTGGAGGTGAGCGTATAACGTGCGTTAGATAGGGGCCCCTTAAACCTACACCTGGGTCGCAAGTCCCAGTCACTGTTGAAGCTCCTCTCACTACAACGATGGACCTGACACACGCACAGTGAATACATGAAATGATGAGAGGTGTCGTCTCATATATGCAAACGAAATTGGTATTTCTGTATGTAATATTTTAATAATTATTGTTTACTACATGCATATGAAAACATATACCGTGTATACACCAAAATATATACTTTTTTACATTTTTTGTCTGTCTGTATGTTCCGTCTAATCTCTGAAATAGCTGGACCGATTTTGACGGGACTTTTATTGATAAGTAGCTGATGTAATAAAGAGTAAATTAGACTACTTTTTAATACCGAAATTAATTTCATCATGAGTGGGAGGGAGTATTCATGCATAATTTGTTTTTAAGCAAATGGAGCCTCGGGTTAGATTTTTAATAAAACAGTAATCTATGTTTTCTATATTAATATTGTCTTTATTGCACAGATTATAACATTATGTCTCTTATATTTACTATACTATTTTATTTTAATACACTTTACAATTAAATCTTAATGTATTCTATACTTAACTTTTGTTCCCAGATGCACAGCCCACGGCTTGATCCTCTCTGTGTCATATATCGCCGGTGCGGGTATGAGAGGCGCGCCTGACTTGGGCCCAGCGTTCAGTGCACTCCTCTGTGCAATTTTCGCCATCTGTGCTACTGTGTTCGCATTACGATTGCGGTAGACAGTGCCAGTGCTAGTGTTTGGCAGACCCTGGCTAAAGCTGGGAAATTGCCAGGAAGAAGAAGAAGAGTGCCAGTGCTAGTGTTATGTGCAGTATATTGTGTTGTGTTAAAAGTGGGCGCTTAGAAACATGGGCGTTTAGAATCATGGGCGCTTAGAAATGACATACAGGTAACTGACAAGCCGAAAGTATTGTATTGTTTGAAACAGTGATGATGGATTAGACTTGTATTGTATCGTAGTGTAGGCTAACGAAATATATATTGGAAATAGTTGATTCAATGAGACTAATTTAAAAACATGGACTGGTAAGAATAGATAAGTAGTATATAGGTACCGCAATATGTAGGTGAACATTAAAATATAGTAAGAAACACAAAAACTCATATATATCTTGTTTTTATCCATGCAAAAGCTATATGTATGAAAATTGTATGACTAAACAACATTCCATAATATATCTTGCCAATTATATTGACACCAAAGAGCTTTGACTGAAAATATTTTTTTGCAAACAATTATATCACCCACCGAACAAAATGCTCTAAAAAATTTGGCATATAATAAAATATGAATGAGAAATTGTGGGAATTTATATATATATATGTACTATATAAATATTAATTCGATGCTTTTACTCATTATATAGTGCCATCATCAAGATTATCATTAGTAGAATAATTCAATATCTTTATATATAAAAATATACTAGTCACAACTCATAAAAAAAACTTTTAAATAACTGAAAATGTTAATTGAAGTAACTAAAACGAAAACATGATTAAGGAATTGAGAATATAGTAATTAATTATAATTAATTTGGCAGCTGATTTTGTATATAAATAGGTATAAACATATTTTTTTTGTAATTTAGGTAATCATTTCAATGTAGAAGACTTATACGTAAATATTGCAGTGTTGTGAGTTATTAGGAAGTGATAATTTTCTCTATATACAGACTCCTTAGTCGACATCGGCTGAATGATAGATTCATTTGTCTTTAGATTACAAACAAAAAAATGCAATAAACCTGTAATTGTAAGATAATCCGTAAACGCTTTTCTCTAAGTCACTTTTTTTCATATAAAATATGTATCAAAATTACTGGGCATAATTTGAACATGTTTTTGGGAATGTCAGTCGCTGATTTAGATAAGTCTATATTCTTACATCTGTGGACTGAGAGGTCATTATAACTTTATTAGACTATACATTTCATATGGTTTTTTCCAATTATCATGAACTCTGTAATTATAGCTAAATAATGTTTTTTTTTTGTTGAACATTGATACACACATTATAATATAACTTATAATAAATAAAAATGTATATAAAAAATACATAAGCATTGCTAGGATTGAACCCGCGACTATCAAATGTCGCAACCCGGCTGCTATAACAACTGAGCTATCGTGTCCATACTTAATCTGGCGAAACTATCTATATGTTAATACAAACCCAATCATATTTGGTTTAGTAATCATTAAAATTAACTTCCAAATTATTATTTGACTCATTTGTCTGTGCTTCCAAAATACCATATAAAACTATTTTTGTTTTTTCGTGAAATTAATCATTGACCTAGCAGTATCCTGACATATTTAATCATATATACTGCTTTAGAGACACATTTTTAAGGATATATATAAAGGGTGTTTAATTTGATCTCAGGGAATTTATTTTATATTGTATATGATATAGGGTGTTCACGAAGCAATACTCTGAACTAATTAATTTAAACTAAGTGACGATTCCTTTATGAGCTATGGGTTTTATATATATGATATGTCATGAAAATATCACATAACCCTAGTCATTTTAATGATTTTTTTTTAAATTGAAATGTATAATTTTGTATTAAAATTAAAGAGTGTCATAAATGTATTCAGAATTGTAACTATTTAATTTCTTTATTATTTTTCGATTACATTGTTTATTATAAATAGTTAATCAATAGTTGTATACATTTTTATATTCAACAGAAGATTTAATTTAAATTGAGTATGTTTTAGTTATGGACATAAACTGAATGTTTTTTCTTCGGGGAATGATTAAACACAAACATGTAAAGACATTTATAATTTATTTTAATTAAAATATTCTCATATGTATATATGTATATCCTTCTAAGAAACTTTTCATAAATGTCGATTGTGATTAGAGAGAGATGTATTATATATATTAGTAATACATTTTTTTTTTTGGACAAAAATCATATTTAATTTAAAGAAAATGCATTCCTTTTTTTTACATATTTTTTTATTCTGTATCATAGTCATAGATAATGTTAATTGATATTAAATGTGAATTATCATAGACAAGTAGTTCTATCTTTTGCAATATTAACGTAGTTATCATTAAAAACATATTATTTTACACATATCAATATATTTTACTGTATTTTTTTTTGTCATTATCATGTTTTTTTTTTCTCTCAATTTTTCATTTGAATTCGTTGGTATGTCGGAATCTATTTTGTATTCGGCGCCATTTAATAAATAAATGATTAATGAAGTAATATATGTTTTTTTTTATAAACTTCTTACGCGACTTTGTACACGGTTGCGTTAAACGTTTAACGCTGGGAGAGAGAAAGAAAGATGCATCAATGTAGAAAATAGGAAAGAGAGAGAGAGAGTGAGTTGGTATTGTTCCTATGCAGTGAAGTAAACAGTGTAGCATCCAGAAATAAACTGAAATGCGTGTTTTTCTTATTAATCAATCAATACATATTACAAAATAAAGTCCTCCGCCGCGTCTGTCTGTCTGTCTGTCGCAATAAATAGGAAAACTACTGCACCAATTAACAAGCGGTTCTTACCACTCGATAGCGTGATTCTGAAAAAAGGTTTGAATATATAATTTGTTAAGGTCTTGTATTGATGTGTGTACATTAACGATATTTGTTGAAGATGTCGGGAAAAAATGAGCCGAACGCTGCCAAAACTCTTTGAATGTAACAAAACAATGTATGATGGAATTATGTATTTTACATAATTCTAAAGAAAAGTCCGGGATGGCATATGTCTATCTCTTAAAGATAACCTACTGTATCCATTTTACTACTTTTAAAAATTCACATTCATGAAGCGTTTATAGGAAAGCTATTTATATTATTACGATATAAAGTCTTATCAAAATAAAGTACTTCGTTTTCAAGCCTACATCAGTTTCTATAAAAAAACTTTTTGAATTATTTAATTCGGTCCTAGTTAATTATTTAATTCGGTCCATTTGAAAGTTATCATAAGTTTAATAATTCTCAAAATTAAATCCACGCGATAGCTTACTTTTTCTCATTGTTACGAAATTAACGCTGTATACAACATTTTCTATATCTATTATTAACATAAAAATATATACTGTTTTTCTACGTCCAAACTTATTTTATGTTTAACGAAAAAAGGTGATGAAATTTTTTTTTGTCTTGATTTAACTCAAAAAGTAAGTACTGGAAACCTTGTACGCAACATAGGCTATTTTATATTTTTTGTAAGGTACCACTGCGAAGATGTGGTGGGTACCTAGTATATATATATATAATATTCATTATATATAAATATTTTAATTTGACATCCAAAAAAAAATTGCAAATGGTTCAACTCTTCTTGGGAGGGGGAATAGAAAGAGATGGAGCGAGAGTAAGGCTAGGTCAACAGTGAATTACATATAAGCAATATTTATAAATTTTGTGTTAAAGAAACAATATGAGTTCATCTTTTCCTATCTTTGGTAGTAGTTAGAAGACCGTATTTTAAAGCGCGTTGTGATGATAGAGCTTACGGTGCCTTGGGAAACCAACATCCCCAAAGACCATACCATCAAGGTCAATAAATATTACGAGCTCACTAACGAACTAACTCGAAATAGGTTCGTCGTTGATTTGTACGCGGTAGAGGTGGGAGCGAGAGGTATAACAGCGAAATATCTCTATAAAATACTAAAAGACTTGGGCCTGTCCAGAACTAACATTAATTCATTCTTGGAACGTACGTCGAAGCCAGCCCTAGTAGGTTCTTTTCAAATTTGATTTTAAAAAAAGGTAGTGAGAGGAGCTTGGACAGTGGAGGTGAGCGTTTTACGTGCGTTAGATAGGTGCCCTTTAAACCTACACCTGGGTCGCAAGTCCCAGTCACTGTTGAAGCTCCTCTCAATGCAACGCGATGGACCCGCCACCCGCACGGTGAATCCATTGAATGCTAAGAGGTTTCGTCTCATACTATTTCGCCAAGGCGTAACATTTATATTAAATATGACCCAGCCTTCAAAATGTTCTTAAAGAGAAAACGAAGTGTTACATATCTCACTGATGTTTCAAATACCATCGGCTTATTAAACGTACAACTGATGTGTATTTCAGAATATGATGATGAAGATGATGATGATGATGATGATGATGATGATGATACTAGTGTTATTATTTCTTTGTTTTTCTATTCATCCTAAAGATATGAGTCAAGATGCGGTATCTGTTGTATTATATACCTAGATACAACAACTACTTATTTCCTTATTTCTGTATAATATTTATAAACGGGTGACAGTATGTTTGTTAATTATCTTTGAACACTTGTACATATTTTTTCTAAACAGTTTTAATGTCATTCATTTAAATATATAATATATTTTTATTCACAATATTGTTGGAATTATCTCGTAACAAACACTTACAGAGACATATTATCAGATGTGACACTTCTTGTTTCATTTAAGAAAGTTTCTACATAGGTATTATGTCATCTTGAAATAATCATTTACAATTATAAAACCTCGAAGAAATCATTTTTAATTAGTTATATTAATTAAAATATAATGGAGCTTCAACAGTGACTGGAACTTGTGACCCAGGTATAGATTTAAGGGATCCCTATCTAACGCGCGTTAAACGCTCACCTCCACTGACCAAGCTCCTCTCTCTACCAAATTTGAAAAGAATCTACTAGGACTGCCTTTGAAGTACGTTCCAAAAATGAATTGATATAGTCCTGGACAGGCACAAGTCTTTTAGTAGTAGTAATATCATCGATATATATCCGTATTTATCGATGTTTATTTGGTGTCAATTTATATCGATTGTTCGTCCAAGCATTACATCACTATCGTTTAATAAAAATTTAACTAGAGCGACACTGATAACTATACTTATTAAAAATATTATTACAATGAAAAATTAAT